AGGAAAGTAAAGTCCATTTTTATTTAACAGATTTATCGAATGGTTGCTATCAAGATTTGCTCTCAATTGTACAATAGGTTTAATAGAGTTATCATGTTCCTCAAAAATATTAACTGCACTTCCAGTGACATAAACCAAAGCAGTCATATCTAAGTAATTTACTACACGATTTAAATCATATAAATAAAGCTCATGGTTAACATGTTCATCAATGTTATAGTCTGTCATTTGTGAAAATCTCTTTTCTTCAAGAAACTGCAAGTCAGTTAAGACTGCTGTAAAACATTCATGAATTACATTTTGAGTGAAGTTAGTCTCAAGGCTATCTTTGATCTCATCACAGCACTTTCCAGAGGAATCCCTGGGAGCGTTTAGTAAGTTAAAGTTAGAAGAAATTACAAAAGACTGAAAAAAAGACGTAACTTTTTGTGATGTTTTATGGTTTATACAGCTATAGTCAGTATTACCATAATTAAAAGTCTCACCTGGTAGGACAACAAGTCTTTCATCTGGATTTAAGGAAATACTTTGTGGTTTCGGCTCTACTGGCTGAACTGATGTCCCATCAAATCCACGGTGCACATCAGTAGACTTTACTGCAGCATAACTAGACCTTTTATTAACATTATCAATTGAAGCAATTGTAAGTGTTGATGGTATTTTGTCAACAGGCTTATTTACCTTATTTTCAACTACCATTGTTTGATTGCGTTCTAATGTTTGTTTTGAAACACAGATACCAAATTTGTTAAGAATATTAATGCAATCACTGGAAGATGTGGTGAACTTATCAATTATATCTGAAATGATTAACTGGAAAGTATTGCATTTTGTATCAAACTTGAACAGTAATGAAAACAATATGTTAATTAGTTTAAAATCAATATTTTCAAAAGTTTTATCTACTTCTGCAGCAGATTTATATTTATTAGATGATGTAAGAGATGCAATAAATTCCCAAAGATCAGGAGGACAACTATTTTTCACAATGTCAACCAATTTAGCATCATCTACAGTTTTAAAGTCAAAATTCAAATTTTTTATGCAGTCTTTACTCATTTGTTTAAGAATTACACAGGCTTTTTCAAGAGTATTATTATTTCCGTGTTTAGACTGACAACTGACATCTTCTGACTTTGTATTAGATAACTTCTGTTTTTGGTGTCCTTGAAGTGCCAAGACTAAGCATCTGCGGTCTTCAACTCCATGCAGTTTCACCATAGTACCAATTTTATCTATTTTATCTGTGTCAATGTTTGAACTGAAAATAAACTGTAGTTTGTCAAGTATAAATCTCGTCTGGTTTTGTCTCAGATTTGATGAAAAACAACCTCCAAACTCTTGAAACTTGTATACAATTTCTGAAAGAAGCAGAGCTTTGTTCTGCATTAATTCAGTACAAACAAATTTGATAAGTTCAGTTAAAGCAAGTTTATTGATATCTGGTATATCAATATCTAAAGTACCACTTACTGCTTGCTTCAAAATTAATGATACATACTCTCTAGGACTAACACATTCTACCTTTTTATCATGTTGCTGTTGACCTGTATATCTGTAAAGAATTGAATGGCATTTTTTGCATATTACATCACCTGTTGTCAATATTTTGTCAGATGGGCCTTGTTCATACATATATTGCTGCAAATAAATTTGGTCAAAATTAGCATAATATTTCTTGAATAATGATAAATTGCACATTTTACATTTAGCTTTACAACTTTTATAATAATTGTATGCTTTCAAGTAATGGCCATCACAAAGAAATATAGATTCAATTTGAGCTTCCTGAAGACTGACTGAAAAGCAAGTGTTTAATTCATCAGTATCTAATGGTGAATTTCTTGTTACAGATGTATTTGTACAAGAGTTACACAGAGCAAGTGCACATTCCAGTTTTGGTTTTTTGGCAGTCTGTAACCTTTCTTCTGCAAGAGCTTTATGTGAAAAATTCCTAATGAGTTTCAACATACATGACTTGCATATGCAGTCTTTTTCACTTATTTTGTGTTTAAATTTAACAAAGTCAACAAAATCTAATTGATAAGATTTAGAACCTAGGTGTAAGTAACCATAATTACTGTCCTTTTTGCAGAGAGAACATGGTCCACAATAATCACCAGGATGAACTGGGCTTTCTCTTACACCTCCTAGGCCTGGTTGGTACAATTTCAGGATATCATTATCTGTACATTTTATCACATCATTGGTTGACAAACATGTTCCAGCTCTGGTCTGTAAATACTGCATATTCTGTTTAATGCCTGAAACCTTTTCAATAAACTGTTTTAGTTCTTTTACTTTAACCTGTATTTTTTTAGAAATAAAAGTAAATGACTTACCAAAAACATGTATATGAACTTTTTTGAGTGGTAAAATCTCATCATTTTTACATTGTTTACTTATGGATTCTTCTTGTAAACCTTTGTTGGATTGCATAGCTTTGTCTTGCTTTTTATTGTGTTTTTTTCTACTAGATGTCTTGTCCAAGTTAGCCAATACTGAAAACATGTTTGTACTGAGGTGTGCCATGTTATTTGAGACTTGTTTGCCTGTATACACCGATTTCTTGCAGGAGATGCTACCATTATGTACTAAGGGGCTTGTAAGAGGTGTAGAATCCTTTTTGTGTGTATGAATTTTGCCCTTGTATGTTTTACCCAAGGGTCTGCCATGAACAGACACTTGAGAGGCCTCACTACTCCTCACTTGCTCAGACATGTCAGATGGCTTTTTCAAAACTGAAATTTGTACATGTTGTTGAAGCAACGGCCTACTCAACAACTGTTTTATTGCAAGGTTCCCCCTTGAGCTTGATAGCAGTGGAAATTCTTCTTCATACTTGAACACTGACATTATGAAAGATTTATAAAGAAGCAGTTATTTTTCTGGAATCTTCTTCGATCAAAATCTAATACCCGGGGAAATAATCAACAAAATAGCCCTAAAAATGAGAATATATTGGAAAATGTGACAAGTTTTTCAATTTTTATACAATTCTGTACTATTTAAACTTATATTTTCTTCAAATTTTCTTGATTTCACAGCAGAAATGGGATTTACGTCTGTACGCCAAGCCCGCCCCGGAAGAAAAGAACGCAATGGCTGATGGTCATCGTCTTCAGAAAATATGTTTTTTTGTTATATTTTTTCTAAATATTTTCATAAAACTTTATAAAATCCCAATCTGTGAATCATGATTTAATAGGCATTAAAAATTCACAACAAAAAGTTTTCAAATAAGGAAATAACGCAGGAAATAAAATCGGAAAAGATGCGAGTGATCTGCGTAAAATGTCAACAAATATTTTACCCCAATAAAAAATAGGTACACTTTTTTGTTCATGCGAGAGACACATAGAAACATATCTTAAATTATCGCCCAGATTCTGTAGTTTTTATATGTGTATTGTCATTGAGTTTCATGAGATAACATTATTTTGTACCTATTTCGCGCATTGAACATGGAACTGGCTATTGTCACATTTTCATTTCATGTCCTCGGCAAAAAAATGCTCTGGAAAATATTTTATTTTATTTTGTTTATGCTTTTGTGCAACGAGGAGATTATTGAGGATATAAATATTCGTCCTTTTAATTTTCTCTGCAAATAACGGCATGAGTAGTCTTCAGTCGTAACTAAAAGATGAAAGGTTACTTTTCGGGGCTACCTTCTTTTCTTTACAAAGTGCACGAAATAGATCTCAAACGGCGGAAGGTCACTGATTAGAGACGGATCACATTTTGCCCTAAAAGGGACTTCCGGTTGTCCGACTGCAAAGAGTGGCAAAACCACATCAAAAACGGGAATAAACATATCATGCAGTGTAATGTCAAAGCCTTATAAAAAAAATAAAACCACCATCATTACGAAATAACAGAATCACATCATGTAATGAAACAATTGCATTACGTAAATCCATATAGACATCAAGTAATGTTAAAACCACATTGCCTAATGACACAACCACATTGCCTAACGACATAACCACATTAAATAATGTTGAAAACATATCAAGTAATGACAAAACCATAACAAGTTATTGCTTTACCATATCATGTAATATCAAAATATCATCAAGTAATGACGTTACCATATTGAGCAGTATCAAAACATCATCAAGTTATGTCAAAATCATAATACGTAATAACAAAATATCATCAAGTAATGATCAAACCACATCACGTAATGTCAGAGCACCACATAAGACAGCTGTGGCGTTCCATACTAAACCCCTAACGGGAAGGATTGTGCCTGATATTCATATGATGAAGACATAATCTTTCAATCAGTTTAATTGAAGTCTGGAGCTGGCATGTCAGTTAACTGCTAGTAGTCTGTTGTTATTTATGTATTATTGTCATTTTGTTTATTTTCTTTGGTTACATCTTCTGACATCAGACTCGGACTTCTCTTGAACTGAATTTTAATGTGCGTATTGTTATGCGTTTACTTTTCTACATTGGCTAGAGGTATATGGGGAGGGTTGAGATCTCATAAACATGTTTAACCCCGCCGCATTTTTGCGCCTGTACCTCTTCAGGAGCCTCTAGCCTTTGTTAGTCTTGTATTATTTTTAATTTTAGTTTCTTGTGTACAATTTGGAGTTTAGTATGGCGTTCATTATCACTGAACTAGTATATATATTTGTTTAGGGGCCAGCTGAAGGACGCCTCCGGGTGCGGGAATTTCTCGCTGCATTGAAGACCTGTTGGTGACCTTCTGCTGTTGTCTGTTCTATGGTCGGGTTGTTGTCTCTTTGACACATTCCCCATTTCCATTCTCAATGTTATGTATACATGCAGTTAGGGGGCTGCCCCCTGTAAGTCCCTCTCTGCCTTTTATTTTCTTTGAATACATTTGGAAAAAGAAGCCTATCAATTAAATCACTGTTACATGTACAGTATTAGGTGCACATTTTGTTTCACTTTCTTTTTCGTTCAAATTGGATATTTTCGGAAAATCAATTTTTCATAGCCTCGTTTTAAAATATGTCAACGATACGTACCCGTACATATTGACCGACTGACTAGGGCTGAATATACTAGTAAGTAGATGATCTAGTTTCGTTTGTTATTTTCTTTACAGATGGTTACTTTATTTTTATATTATTGTTATATCATAACATTGTGTGCATAAATGATCCATATTATTATAAATAAATGATTAGTCAAATTAAATTCTACTTTCTGTTTCTAACAAAAAGGTATCCTAAAGTTTAGTTATTACTTTAACAAGACGTTACTCATATATAAATTGTGTGATCAAAATATCATATTTATGAAATAAAGGTTTTCTTGATATTCCCCACAAAATTTTAAGAAATCATTGCTTTCTGTTTTTTCGTCTTCGCTTTTTTGGTATGGAAAATCTATTTGATCATGTTGATAGGAGTGCCGCTGTTCTGTTACCCCACTTTTATCTTAAAAAAATTATACCTTTTCATGTATTGCATAGGTAAAAATGTATTACTTTTCCCATATTTGTTTGGTTTTGTGTGGTGCTTGGGAAAAGTAGAATATCAAAGTGTCAAAATAGGAAAAAATTATGGATAAAAATAAAAATACAGCCGGGAACATCATGAAAGATGACATACGAAGAAGAATTAACAAACAATGCACAAAAAGTACAAAGCAACCCCGCTATAAACCAAGGGTGAATTCAAGGGATACGGAAAGTTTTTTGTCAAGTAGGAAACTGCATGACACTCCATAGCGATCAATAAGATCGTGACTACGACTGTACAATTGTGTTTTCATATGACAAGTATAATGATATCTTTATTGACCTTATCATATATTTCTGATAGTTTTCTCCAAATATATACATATTTTAAAGATCATGGAGGTTCTTTCACCTTTTATGTAGGAAGTTGATCATACAGTGAAACGGTCCTCCATTTTCGAGTGCAGATAGTTTCTTTTCAAATGGAACAACTTTAAATCAAATCGATTTTCTCTGTTTCGCAAACAAATAAGATGCACTAGATACTGCCGAGCTTATTTTTTAATGTTGTTCGGGTTTTAAACACCAACTACGGTGATACTGATAACTGATAATTAGTTTCTTTTAATAGCATTTCATTTAAAATCAATATTTTTGTCCGGTTTTAAATATTCATGTTAATCAGGGTATTGAAGCAAAATGCACATATTCATACAAATATATATGGTATCGAAATTTATATACACATTAAGATAGGAAGAAATCACAATGCATGAATATTTTATCGTGCTTAACATGCATACAGATTACTAAGACATACTAAGTCAAGTACTGTTTTGTTATCTTATCATTTTAATGTATAATACATCAAAATATATTTCTTGTGTTTTTCTTTGTTTTTATGACAAACCTATTCGGTGTAATATAGATTGGATTTTGTTGATGATATTTAACAATGTCGGCGCGTTAGATTCGCGCGAACTAGTCGTACATTTGCGCGATAAAGCGCACTATATATATTCACCTGTGAAAATAACTGCGTTTACACGAATTGATCCAACTAGTATTAAAGATAATAAACGATTTGTAGAATTTTTACACAAAACTACGATTTCTGAAATAACAAATTTGTCAACTACTTAGTTACGACACCCTACGGTCAATTTTAATTATATTCCAACAATGTTCAGAGTACTATCACAGCCATTATTTAAGACTATGTACTATTTACATACACGTAGTGCTGTTTATGTTTATATAAACGAATGAAAGGGGCCTCGGTGGCCGAGTGGTCTAAGTAGTTATAACTGTAATCACTACTCAGTCAACACTGAGGTTGTGAGTTCGAACCCCGCTCATGCGGGGGCACTCGACTCCAATCTTAATTGACTAGGATTGTCAGGTTTCCTATCGAAGGTCGGTGGTTTTCTCCGGGCATTCCAGCTTCCTCCACCAATAAAAACTGGCCGCCACGAAATAACCCAAAAGCTGTGCTTAAAAGTGGCGTTAAAACATATAAAATCAAATATAAACTAATGAAGACTCCAGTAATTTAATGTTTATAAATAATCAGGATTAAAACTCAAGTGAACAGACAGGTTTTACAGGCAATTCGTGCAATAGTCGTACGATTACGTTTGTTCGAACAAACGTTATACCTGGCTGTCAAAGTATAAATTCGCACAAGTCTTTATCGCCTAATGAAATAGAAGATCGATTTGTGCTTGAACAAAAATGTGTGCAGTTGAGGATCAAAAAAAGAGGGGGGGGGGGGGGGGGGGGGGGGAGGTGCAGGGGTTGGAACCTCCTTTTTGTTTGACAACTTATGCTTTTGTATTGGGACAAATGGTTGGAACCCTCCCCTTTGATACGACTTGCTATTGTTTGAAGTTTTTTTTTAAATGTGAACTTTCGAATTTTCCTTCAAAAAATGATAGTCTTTCACAAATTATCATAAAAAGATACAAGAACTTCGTTTGATTTTAATTTAATGATATTGAAAGTATGATAACGATTGTTGATTTTGAGATTCTTTGAAACTTTCCTGTTGGTATGCAGAAGTTGATTTGCTGATTTTGCTGATTTGCTGATGGTACATTCAAGTGCATCAGTTCCTTTCATTTAGATATTATTATTTTCCCCCAAAAAACAGCTTGCAATTGTATAGTTTAATTTGACGATTTTAAAAACACCTATAAATCATTTATTTGTTTCATTTTTTTTTTTCAAATTTCAAGTTTTCATTTCATTTTTCTTATTATAAAAAGTAAAATCACAAAAATACTGAACTCCGAGGAAAATTCAATCGGAAAGTCCCTAATCACATGGCAAAATCAAATGACAAAACACATCAAACGAATGGACAACAACTGTCATATTCCTGACTTGGTACAGGCATTTTCAAATGTAGAAAATGGTGGATTGAACCTGGTTTTATAGCGCTAAACCTCTCACTTGTACGACAGTCTTATCAAATTTCGTTATATTTACAACGATGCGTGAACAAAACAGACATTATAAATAAAATAGTCAAAATATGGGTACAGCAGTCATCACTGTGTTACAATATCAAAACAAACAATTATTTACAAAAAAAGCACAAAAGCATCTATCAAATTAAGACCCACATTCATTGCTTCGCGTGTCTGACGTCAGAAAATGTAAACGTCACATAAGAAAAAAGTTTGTCATTCAATGTCTATTCAAAACAATTTTATAATTTCACATGGGGAATGTTGGTATACAGGGTTAAAAAATCAAAAGTTATGTTAGAATTAATTTCAGAAATAGACCGAGATTTATAATTGTCCAGAAGTTCTTCAGAACCCTTAAGAATCCACATATGGTAAATACCACTACGCGAGTAAAATAAATTTGTCGTTTGTCGTTCAAAGTATTTTCAAATTTATAATAGAACAATAACATAATGACATATAATAGAACAATAACATAATGACGGGATCTTTTAAAGTACAGAGTCACGTTATAAGAACCACAGAAACACAAAAAGTCGCATATACAAAACACACCAGTAAAAATTAAAGATAATACAAACACATTGACGGGATGTATAAGTACCTAGCCACGTCAAATGGATATCACAGAAAACAAACCAAACAGTAAAAGTAATATTAATAATAGAACATTCAATTCCATTTATTTATTTTAATGAAAAAATTATATTTTTTAAGGTGCAGTATGATATAACCTTTAACCGACCTTTTTCCTCAAATTATTATTTCTCTAAAACAACATCCATTCAATTTATTTTGTTGGCATTCAAGCAATAGATAATTTTTAAAATGTAGGCATCCATGGAAGACACCGGTTTAGAGACTGATTAAAGTAAAACGTTTACTATCACAATGTTACATAGGCATATATAGACTATTTTATTACGTAATGATTAGAATTGACATCATAAATTAAAAAACAAACTATTTTCTCTTAGAGAGACGAGGTAAATGTGGGCAAGTAATGTCATCAGTGTTCTCTGAATAATATTTAATTAAATGAAAAAAGATGTACTGATTACTGTTAAGTGTCAAGTGCCAATTAAGTTAAACGCGTTAAAAGGACGAGAACATGTTGCTGTTAAATACCTTGATCAGAACTAGGCCGACACATCAAGCTTGATTGTCAACGTGCTATATATATCTAGTTCACCAGATAATAATCCAAAGAAAGACAGGACACCCTGCACAGACAGTTTATTCTAACTCAGGGCAGCCCAGTCCTTCCTCTTACTTTAAAATGCAGCGTGCTTTGTAGAGATACATTTTGTAATGTATTTTTATACGCCTGTTTACGGGACGTATTACGGTATACCGTTGTTCGTCTGTCCGTCTGTCCGTCAGTCCGTCTGTCCGTCCGTCTGTCTGTCTGTACGTCGTCAACATGTCGGACACTAACTTAAAACGCTTGAACCAATTCGTATGAAACTTTGGTGAATTGTTTATATCTATTGACGTGAGCGCCCTTTCGTTTTTTATGAGTTTTAGATTTTAATTTTCCGAGTTTTTGGTTTTTTTTTCATTAAAAAAGGGGGATTTTTCCATTTTTCAGACAATAACTAAAAAACACTTTCCCCAATTTGCAAGAAACTTTGGTGAATTGTTTATCTATTGACGTAAGCTCCTTTTCGATTTTTATAAATTTTCGATTTTACGTTTCGGAGTTACATGATTTTATTCATAAAAAAGGGGGGATTTTCCAGTTTTCGGACAATGCTTTGAGCAGTTATCGTGAAAGTTTGGTTACTGGTATATATTTATTAAGATAACCTCCTTTTAGTTTTTCTTAAATTTCTGATATGACATTGAGAAGTTATTGAAATTTATTTTGTTAAAAAGCGACGGGCGTATCATGCGCTATGGCGCAGCGAATTATTTGACAGTTTTTGCTCAATTTAAATTCATTATAAAGCCTGCTCATCAGGTCAGATGAGGATATATCTAGTCTATACCAGTACATGGACATAATTGCTTTTTTGATAAGTTTATATATGATGGATATGTCCAAGTTCTGAGAGTACTGATATGTTTATTCAAAGTTAAAAACAACGACGAGAATATGTTTGCATAATATTAAGTTAAACGTTTGTATTTTGAATCCTATTTAAATGTTATAAGAGGATATTTTTTCTCTTCTGGGTGAAATGGAGAACTTTCGAAATGGCATATTTTCTTGGAAATAATAAAATTAGAGGATAGGCCTAAACAATACTGAATGGCTTAATAGTCAAGTGTGAAACGCTTAAAAAATGATCATCGAGTGTCACATCGATTTTTTGTAGCTACCATTAGTGTCAACCGGAGAACATTTTTTATGGTTTTTACCGTTCGGCATCATATAAGATGCCCTGTCCCCACCCGAATGATAGTACCCTCCTCGTAAATAGTCTACATAATATCTAGCTGTAGCGTGGAAAAAAGTAAAAAGGAGATAGAAAATTGAGAATTAAAAGTTGAACATAAAAAACGAAAATCTGCAGTCTTCAAAGGCGATCATATCAAGTTCTCGGGAAGAAGAATTTTATTTTCCTCCATAAGTGCCAACCATCGTGTTGCTCGTGTTAAGTATAAAACAAGTTGACAATTTTGTTCTTTAAACTTTGTAAATAGCACAATAGATATTAAATTTAGTTATTGGTATATCTTATCGTGGTGTACACTGCACATCTCGTAATATCGACTTTCTTTCCAGGCCTCTGCTTCGCAGATTTATCTTCTTACGTTTAAATGCAAATACTTATAGGTGAATATTTTTATCAGGTAAACACCTATATAAGTAAAACAAGTATCGACAGTTTGAGTGAAAATATGTTGCATGTTCTCTCATAGATCATTGGTTTTGGAGCCTAAAGTTTAAATAGGATTTGGTAACCTTTTGTTTAATCTTTCATTTTCGATACTGCATGCATTTGTATAAAGCTGTTAATGTCTGTCATGAAAGCTGTTTTATTTTATAAGGTATCAATAAGTTTTTACCTCTGATAATGACCTATGGATAATTTCACTTGTTTGTACATATTCATGCATATGTTGTTAGATGCATTTATGGATACCCACCCCAAGTGTAAAGGTGTAAACGGGTAGATTATAAATAAACATATACAGATAAATATTATATATTTCTTCGATCTCATACTTTTCATGCGGAACAAATATGTTTTCTTTTTATCACAAGATGAAGTCCTAAGATGTTTTCATAACACAATGAAGTGTAGAAATGTAGAAGACGGACAGGAATGTGGTGCAGACCTGCCATCAGATGCAAACTTTTGTGGTGAGTGTGGAGCTGATGTGATTATCAGAACTGGTAACTGCCCAAAGTGTAAAGAAACCATAAAAGAAACTCAGAAGTTTTGTTTTGGATGCAAATGGAAAGTAAATGAAAGTATTTTCCAGTCTCAAGCATCAACGTATGAGAAAGAAGAAAGTGTTCCCGAGGGACAGAGTACTCTGGAAAAGGACAAACCTGTTATCGACGAAGGTACATATATAATGGTTAATTTCGAATATATCTATATACATAAGATCGTACTTCAATTTTTTTTATATTATTATTTTTGAATAAATCTAATGCATGTTCTTATTAAGTAAAAAATAATTACATCCATGTGTAATGCGCTGTTACTACAGTGAATTTTCATTTTGATAATAATACAGAAAATATAAATGTGTTATACCAATTCATAACTTGGTATTATTTAACATGAAGAATTGCATTTACACAGAGAAATTAAGCAGCACAGCGAGTGTGAACGAAGAACACGAAAAGACCCTGACAAAAGAAACTAAAATAGTACAACAAGCTGTGGCAGAAGACAAGGTATCTAAAGACCATCGGACTAATGAGAGTACAGAACACGAAACTGATACGCGTTCTCAAGGAAATGATAACGATGACGACGCTTCAAAAGTCAACATAAAACACGAAGGCAACGAAACTGAAGGTAGTTATGATTGTTAGCAAGATTTGAAAATAAGTTATACTGTAAAAGAGATATTATATACTAGTATACATTCATTTCTAGAAGTCCAAATACAGTTCTAAAAAATGCAAATGTCCATATACTAGTAGTTTTTTTTACACGTGCATGCCTTTTTAAATTCTTTTTGAACATTTGTCACATAAAAATGAACCCTTAATTTATGATAAATTCTTTAATTAAAAAACAAACCATTATAGAGGTAAACTTTAAAAAGGATGTTAAATAAATGTGAGAATGGCAATGAGAATATGTCAAAGAGACAACAACCCGACCAAAGAGCAGACAACAGCCGAAGGCCACCAATGGGTGTTCAACGCAGCGAGAAAATCCCGGACCTAGAGGTGGTCTTCAGCTGGTTCCCCTAAATGAAATTGTGTACTAGTTCAGTGAAAATGGACGTCACACCAAACTCCAAAACACACAAATGAACTAAAATTAAAAAACATACAAGACTAACAAAGACCAGAGGCTCCTGACTTGGGACAGGCACAAAAAGACGTCCGAGTCCGATGTCTGAATAGGTAACAAAAGAAGCCAAGCAAAATGACAATGATACATAAATGAACAAAGGACTACTAGCAGTTACTGACATGCCAGCTCCAAACCTCAATGCATTAAACCGATTGAAAGATTATGTCTTCATCATACGGAAATTAAGTACTAGAGTACTATCCCTCCCGTTAGGGGTTTAGTATCATATCATCATAAAATATATGAGAAGAATATAACCCGTATCATGCCAACAACTGGTTTTAGAATAAATGTGTTTATTTCCGATACAAAGACCCTATGAGTGAATCAATATAAATATAGAGCATACTTCATAGAGACGGCAAACTAACGGAAAAAAAACTTATTGACATGAAGTCTTACGATTTTTCACAAGGTTAGAGGCTTGAGTTATATGACTGATTTATATGACATCAAACCGCTTTAGTTTTGTCTGTACATTTTTTCTTTTAAAACTCAAAAATAATAAAAAGAAATAAGCAATTGAATCATCATGAAAATGTAACTGCCCAGAGAACACTCAACATGCATTTTTATTGCCTGTGAATGCTCTCCGTAGAACCAAACATACATACAAGGGTAGAATCGGGTCAACAGGAGAGATTTGCAGCACCACTATCCCAATTTATGAGGAGGATTGCATTTTTAACCCAATAACATTTTCTTATGTATTGTGTTTTGTTAAAAATTATAGTTAATGACAAATTGGATTGAAATAATTTTCACGTATTCACAAACAGAAAATTTATTATATTGTCATCCTCATCCCTACGGTGAGCTCCAATAGAACGGCGATGATGCTCTTATTGGATAGTTACAAATTACTGCAAAAAGTAGCTAGAGCCACAGTTTTTGTAAGTTTAAAATGACATATTTAATTTTGATGACTGAAACAGTTCTTTGTGTCTTTATTTCATTAATTATAAAATGAACATATGCGTTTCAAGTATCCCCAAAAACAACAACGTAGGATAATGTTATAACGCGACATTTGTTAAATGTATTTAAAAAGTCAACCCCTATAATTTACAATCTAGGACAATCGAATAAAGATTTTCCTGAAAACAGTTCAACAGAAAAGATACAAGCAACAACTATTGCCAATTTAGAGAGTGCCTCTTCATCTAATAGTGAAACACACACATCACACAGTGAAAGCAGTGGGAATGCTGAAGAAACCGGGAGTTCATCTGATAGCAGCTCATCTGACAGTGAAGAAAATGATACAATACAACTTAACATTGATAACAGCAGCGAAGGTGAAAAAGAAGATAATGTCAAAGACTTAGGTATGTATAAACATAAGACAGCAATATATTTTGATAAGAAAAACTATTAAAACATTATCATAGTGATGTCAGTTTTGAAAGAAAAAATAAAGATATAAAAAGAATGGTTAAGTAAAAGAAGATATGATACCTTTATATTTTATGACCATGGCACTTATTCATTCATATGACTTCAGTGTTTCTCTTGTTCCTTTGTTTTCCTCTTTTAGTTGATTTGTTTCCCCCGGTTTTAGTTTGTAACCCGAATTTGTTTTCTCTCAATCGATTTATGACCCTGGAACACCGGTATACTATTGTTGCCTTTACAAAACCTCTTATGGTAAAAGGTAAGTTTCAATCATATTAAGCCTTATAAAATCAACTTAAAATACTTTTTGATTTCTGATGTATTCTGGACAAAAACCAAAACCAAAACAACATGATAAGTTATTTCGAGAACAGTGATTTAAATAAATGCATACTACACAACCATATAAGTTTATTCAAGTTATTTTTCTATTTTCTTATATCGTGTTTTCCTTCAATCCGTAAATTGATAGTATATGTACATCTGAGGTAATTGGAGATGCATAGAAATGCTTGACATCATCAATGTTTCGATTTATGAGATTATTACTAGCGTTTCTGATATAATAATTATAATGTTCTAACGGGATACAAACTATGCTATTTTTATTCTCAAAATCTTCTACCGTTATAAAATCATTGTAAATTGCTCATTGTTATGCTTCATGATTAATTCTATGATTTTTCTGCCTGTACAGATCGAAGCTAATGTTTTCACTACGGTAAATAAAGTTGATATTGCTCGGAATTTCCAAAATTAAATGAATGCATTTAAATTCAACATTGCCTTGATATTTTTGGTTTTCGACGTATTCTTTAAATAAAGCCAACAGTAGTATACCGCTGTTCAATAGTCATAATTGGACTTAAACACATGTTGAACAAGTCTGAAACGAGTTCATTTTTATAATGAAAAATCAAAATTGAGGGAGCAGTATTATTAAACATAAAAAATGGATAAAATTCAACAATGCTGTACTTTTCCAACAAAGCTGAACATGTTTAAGCTATATTGTCTTTCCCATTTGACAAGGGCAATTAAAAAAGGAGAATATATGTACTTATATGTCTTATTTTGGATATAAGGACAAAATGGTACTGGCTATTAACGTTTGTCTCCGTTTAGTTCAGAGATTTATATAATGTATAAACGCTTACCTCACTGATTAAGACCTATGCTGAATCTAGTTTTGGGTTTTTATGTTAAATGATCACTATTTCGTACATGTGTATCTGCAATTGTCTTTCATAATATGATATTTGTTAATTTGTTATATATTGATATAGTCACTGGTTGTTCGCATATATATAAGGTAAAAATTACTTTCTCTATTTCTTTCTATGAAACAAAAAGTCTAATAAGACATTCTTTTATTTTCATATAAAATCAAGATAAAGGTGACCCCGATGACGACCAAAAAAAGGAACAGGTTGAATTAAAAGATGATAAGGAGGAGGCAAAACATGAGAGTAGTAACACAGGTAGTAAAAAATATTTGTATTAGTAAAAAAAAGTCGTCTACAATGACTTCGCTATATTCAGTGGTTCTGTCTTTAGTGACTAGAATTTTTCTACATAATGATCAAATAGCGGATGTTATTTACACTATTACACATTAATCTACCCTCAAACAATTTGAACAGTTCTACTCGAGAACGATCCTGAATCCTGACTTTTTTCAGTTATATGACATTACATGATGATAATTCTTGTGAATGAAAGGGAATACTGCTAGGTACATGTATACTACAATGAAACAGCAACCCCATTCTTAGCGTTTTTAATGAAGCAGTAGTTCTTTTTTCGAATAATGTTGAATGGACAGTTGTGATAAATTGTGATATTTGCTTTCCCTTGTGTTCTTTTTTTGCATTGTTTCCATGGTGACCAGGTTTGTAACAGTTTTATGAAAAGTCCAATTTGTTTCAGGCGACATGTAAACTTGCAAGCCTTTTTTGTATACATATTTTGATAAAAAAAAGCACGGTATATAAGACAATTGCTAAAACCCACGTCTTTGCTATAATTTGGGAACGTGAAGTTGGTTTACCATTTCACATATTAATTTTATGATCAACTCATTGGTTCGTATCCAATCAAAGTCCTTGTGGGAGACCAGTTGAATAATTTCAAAGCATCGTAAAATAAAAGTGTAAACATTTAACATAGTATTACATTATAACGACGTGTTAATATCCTGTATATGAATGCTTTTAATGATCAAATCTTAGGAAACTTATATTGCACTTAAACACTGTAAAGTTTTTGTTACAATTCTTTTCGAGTTCAACTATTCTTTGTGTTTTTATTTGTTATTTTGTTATCTGTACTTGTTAAATGAATTCCCTTTTTTTCATTTGTGCTATAATTTGACTCATTTGTTTATAAAAATTACATATTAAATCACCTCGCTGTCAGATAAAGCTTCATCGCAGGAAATATTCAAATATTCGAATTGTTGAATGTTTTCAATTGTACTGTCTTGAAACAACTAATTTCCGAGGAACAAAATTTAGAAAATAACAAGAGCAATATTTATAGACTAATATTCAATGTGTAATACGATAGTATTTTGATGTCAGCCTTTACCATACGCATGATACAAAAGGTTTTCGCTGGCACAATGAATCGATTATTGAGAATTAAGCAAGATTCTTTTATAGTTAAAAACAAGAACATTTATATGTTCAAGTCAAATATTGAAATTTGGAAGCCTGTCAACTATTGTTGGAATTGAGGAAACTGTTTTAAATATTTACAAGAAATTTTTATTCTTAATTGAAAGTGGGTTGCTGGTTTAAAAAGTAGAATCACAAAAATACCGCACGCCGAGGAAAATTCAAAACAGAAAGTGCCTAATCAGATGGCAAAATCAAAAGCTCAAACACATCAAACGAATGAATAACAACTGTCATATTCCTGACTTTGTACATGTATTTTCTTATGTAGAAAATGGTGGATTAAACTTTGGTTTTATAGATAGCTAAACCTCTCACTTGTATGACAGATGCATAAAATTCCATTATATTGACAACGATGTGTGAACAAAACAAACAGATGTAATAGGTAAAAATGTCTAAAATTGGGGCACAGCAGTCAACATTGTGTTACTATCTTAATCACTATAAAAACAAATAAATATGTAACAAAGAAACACAAAAAGGCAAATAGACAGAGCATATAAGTAAAAATGAAAGACAAGAATACAGAATTTACCATAGCACAATAACACAATGACGGGATGAATAAGTACAAAGCCATGTCATATGTACCAAAGAAAAAAAAAAGACATATACTAGAACACAAAGCACATTAGCAAAAATGAAAAACAAGAATACAAAAATTTACCATAGGACAACAACACAATGACAGGATGTATAAGTACAAAGTCACGTCAAATCAAAACGTCACCGAAACATACCAAAGAGTAAAAGGAATATTTTAAGTAAAAGAATACTATAACACGTTATCTAGATGATAACGTCAGTAAAGTTTTTCCACTTGATTATTACATTTGTATTTGTTGAAAAAATCGGTCTTCACTAAATAAGTAAACGTGTGAACATGTAAATATTTCAAAAATTAAATGCATCAGGATAAAACTCTAATTGTTATTTAAGTTATTTTTATAGAATAATGTTTTCTAATCATAGAAAATGACAATGAAGGAAATAACGATGATTTAGAAGTACCACAGGTTACAAAAGCAAATGTAGCACCATCAGAAGAAAACCCAAACCTCGACGAAAAAGAATATTATGGAAGCGAGACAAGCACTGATTCCTCTTCCTCTTCCTCTTCCTCTGACAGTGAAGATGGTAAAATATTACTGTAACAGTTGATATTTTGTTATTTTTCGCAAAATTTATTGATTTTAAATTTAAGTTTCCAAAATAGACTCAGTGTATGTGGATGTATCAGGTAATCAAAAGATCAAAACTGCTATTAAAAACTTAAGGGTTATATAACCAAAATGACAACTAACAAAATACCATTCATTAGGATTCGGCTTATTATTTCTGTATTTATAAACGGACGAAAAAATTATCGAATTCCGTGTTTTTGACCCATAAGGATAAATAAATCTAAAAACCATATACCGTTCCGTAGTCTCTTTATTTCGCTTTTTTAATAGCATTTGAAGGCGCGCTTTTATTTAGAAATCAATGAATGATTGTACCCACAGAATCAAATTCATCATGGGTTCTTATCAAAATGCAATGAATCGAAGATGGGATCATTGATATTTTCTTCCTCAGAAGCAGGGTGAAATCCCCAACAAAAACTTCTGAATCCTATTTGTATATATGACTAAGCTTAAGATTACATGAGCTGTTGTATTTTTTCTCCTATTTATTGTGAAAGCTTGACATACGATACAACCATTTTTATTACTGTTGACGACATTTTTGAAGTTTGCATATGAATTGTGTATGTGTTACATTTTTGGTCCATATATCATACATATCTGTTTATCAAAAGTCTGCTGATCCGGCATATTATATTAGATCTGTGTCCGTTGGTTTATTTACGAATTTGTACAATTAGTCAAATTCAATTACAATAATTTTCAAGAACTTACGAAAACATGTGGAAAATTTCACTTGGACTTGACAATCTGCACTGTTGTTTTGTAGTAAATATTCTACACCATTTTCATTTTTGTTCAGCCCAGTAACTAATCCCATAATAACTTGCTTTTATAAAAATTTGGAACTCATTTTAGATAAAGAAAAGCTATGAATCTATAGATATAATAAGATGTGGTATGAGTGCCAATAAGACAACTCTCCATCCATTTTATAATTTGTAGAAGTAAACAATTATAGGCCAAAGTACGGTCCAAAAAGGACTAGACTAAGTATAAAACAATTCAAACAAGGAAAAAACGGTCTAATCGATATAAAAAACGAGAAACGAGAAACACTTATAAACAACATCAACAAACGACAACTACTGAACAACAGGTTCATGACTCAGGACGAATAAATTTGATAGACAACTATAACCTTGGACAAAATGACATTAAATGAAATAACGTACACAGGTGAATAAAAATAATTTTGTTGTAAGGAATACATGGAGTATGGAAATATATTTTACGCTGTATCACGTAATATTGCATTATTAAGGTCACAGATAAAGACTGTTAACACATTTGTTTTATAGCCGACCATTCGGTTTGCGATTTTTTTATTGTTTGAAGGCCACACGGTTGCCTGTAATTGTTTGCATCCACCTCATTTGAACTTAAGTGGATAGTTGTCTCATTGGAAATCATACCACATCTCCTTATTTTTATATTAACCCAAACTAACATAAATTAAACATGTCATCATTTGCTTAGAAAATCAAGATAAAGATGGCCAGAATGACTTAAAAGGCAAGGACCAAGTACCAGAGAATCAGCAAACAAAGTCAACAGATAATAAAGAGGATGACCCAAATAAGAGAATGGATACAGGTAGTTTAATATATCAATGAAACAATGTAAATACAATATTGATAAAAAAAAAGGAGAGGAGATGTTAAACAATATCAGAAAGACAACTATAACCTGGGACAACATGACGTTAAATAAAATAACGTACACAGGTGAATAAAAATAATTTTGTTGTAAGGAATACATGGAGTATGGAAATATATTTTACGCTGTATCACGTAATATTGCATTATTAAGGTCACAGATAAAGACTGGTAACACATTTTTTTTATAGCCGACCATTCGGTATGCGATTTTTTTTATTGTTTGAAGGCCACACGGTTGCCTGTAATTGTTTGAACTTAAGTGGATAGTTTTCTCATTGGAAATCATACCATATCTCCTTATTTTTATATTAACCCAAACTAACATAAATTAAACATGTCATCATTTGCTTAGAAAATCAAGATAAAGATGGCCAGAATGACTTAAAAGGCAAGGACCAAGTACCAGAAAATCAGCAAACAAAGTCAACAGATAATAAAGAGGATGACCCAAATAAGAGAATGGATACAGGTAGTTTAATATTCTTTATTAATGTATATATATGTCTTCATTATGACCTCATCAATTTAAATGTTTGTCGTCTGTTTAAACCTTAGTTTAGAAGATAGTAAGAAACTAAACAAACTTAATGATCAGCAATACAAGATCAATATTTGTCATGAATTCTATTCTCGTCTACAATGCTAGAGAATGTCCTATGTTGAATATGCTTATAGACCAAGGTGAGCGACACAGGTACTTTATAGCCTCTAGTTTTACTGTCTTGTCTTGACGGCATCAAAAAGTATTCTGTTTCCGGCGTCAGCAGTGACAGTGGCGTCAACAATGTTTTAGTTATTTTTTATTAGGTCAGTGTATGGTGAACTACTGGTATGTTAATGATATGTGGTATGCAGTTGTATAATTATTGCTAAGTTTACACTTATAAGTTTGTGATTAGGTCAGTTAATGGGGGAGCACTAGTGGTAGGTCATGCATTAATATTGGCACATCTCATTCCATGAAGATTATTTTGCCCCGCCTCCATAGTCATGGTATATTTATTTTTAAACTGTTTTTTTTAAATGACGTGTAATAGTTTTTTATTAGGTAAGTTTATGGGGAACCACAAGTGGAAGGTCAATGATATTTGGAATGCAACTGTATTAATATAAGTTTGATTCGATTTGCCCCATTAAATGAAGTGAAGAAGATTTTTTTAAAAGATTAAAAAAATTAACAAATATTTGACTTTAAAGGGCAAGAACTCCTTAAGGGGTTACTTGACAATTTTGGTTATATTTAATTATTTGTAGATGGTACTTTGCTGAACATTAATGCTTTTTACAGTTTATCTCTATCTATCATGTCTATCTTAATAATATTTAAGATTATTACCAAAATCTGCAAAATTACCAATTCAGGGCAGCAACCCAACAATAGGTTGTCTGATTCGTCTGAAAATTTCAGGGCAGATAATTCTTAATCTGATTAACCTTTATATCCCTGTCGTATTTGCTCTAATTGCCTTAGTTTTAAAGATATAAACCAAAAACTGCACTTTACTCCTATGTTCTGTTTTAAGCCATGACGGCCATGTTGGTTGGCAGGCGAGGTCATCGGACACATTTTTCAACAATATACCCTAATACAGTCCACCACACAGCCCTCTATTTTTCGCTATTCAGGAGCGCTCTTTCATCTGGTATTAAATGTCAGATAAGCTAGTATTATCTAAGTACTTGTCACTTTCAATTAAATATATTATTGTTTCAATTTTTATCTGTAAAAAGTTAAACTATGTACAAGATGGTGTAATATGACTCCTAACAATGTAAACACTACCTGACTACAAGTTTTGTCATAGATAGAGATTTCACATTATGAAAAAATTAAGAATGAAATAAGAACAGTAATTAATTATTTTCATGCTTATTAATTGTATTCTTTTACAAACTGATTGTTTATATAACACTGAAATCTTAATCATTGATTTTAGAGTCTGAACGTTATGATTCAAATAGGGTGGGAGGTGGCTGGTTCCTAAGTCAATACAAAATAAGATTGGTGTGGCTTCTCCGCTAAGCACAAATCATGAAGAGTAACCGTAAAGAGTGGTCAGCTCAGAATTGGAATGTTGTTTCTCAAATGACTTAATGATAAAATAACAATTACATTTGTCCTGAAATGTTAATAAGGGGGGTGTGTGTGTGGAGGGGGAGGGGATTCTGCTAGTGAAATTTACTTAAAGAATAAATTGTGAATCCTGATATTTATGGATCTTAATTCATTTGTGTAAAATTTAAATGAATTTTTTTTTTTTAATTTTTCAACTCCCCTTTTTTGTTCTTTATTTTAGTAACTTGAATTGTGTGATACATGTAAACTACAAAATAACTGAAAAGATGAACTTTGAAAATGCCAGTTGTCATACAGATGTGAAACATATGCATGTTTAAATTTAAAAGTTTGTGTATCTTGCTTTTAAAATGTTTTTATTTATTATAACTAGTAGGGTGCCTCGGTGGCCGAGTGGTCTAAGTAGTCCAACTACTCTATCACTAGCCAGTCAACACTGAGGTTGTGAGTTCGAATCCCGATAAATAATGGTTAAATAATCTACCGACTGCCAACTCAAAATGTGCCTTACACATGCATTTGCAATAATTTAAAGTGGAACGCAATGCATTCGTAAGATTTATCATACATTATTAAGATCACAGACAAGGATTTGAAACAAGTTGTTTCTTGAACTAACATAAAATCAAGCATGTTGTAAATTTCTTAGATAATCAGAATAAAGATAGCCAAAGTGAATTAACAGCCAATGACCAGGTGACTGGGGATGGAGAAAGAAAATTAACAGATGATAAAGAGGATAAGTCAATTGAGAGAAGACACACAGGTAATTAAAGATTCTTATTGAATATTTATATTTCTTTTTTCTGTAATGACTTCATCAATGCATAAAGTTGTCGTTTGTTTAAACCCTATTGTTGTGGTCAATACTATTATTAGTTGAAAGCTGTTTTGAAGCTCCTGATATATTAATTTTAAACTTTTTTTAAATTACACGTACGTGTTATAGTGCTCTTTTATTTGTCTTTGTAAATTTTTAACCTTTACTCTTTAGTCCATTTTTGATAACATTTGGCGTGGCTCGGTACTTATGAGTCTCAACAAAGTGTTGTTGTGCTGTTGAAATGTTTTGTATGCTGGTCTTTCATTCATGTTTTATGTGGTTTTTATGTATACCATTTTGTTTTCTTAGTTTGTTTTCATAATGGTTTATTATAGCACAATATTGACTGGTGTACTCCTATTTTTGACATTTTTACCTATTACGTCTGTATGTTCTGTAAATATAATTGAATTTTATGCGACTATCAGACAATTTAGAAGTTTAGCTAGCTATAAAACAATGTTTAATCCACAACTTTCTACACGAGGAAATGTCTGTACCAAGTCAGGAATATGAAAGTTGTTTTCAATTGTTTGATGTGTTTGATCTTTTGGATTTTATACGACCGCAAAAAATTTTTGCGGTCGTATATTGGTATGACGTTGGCGTCGTCGTCGTCCGGCGTCGTCGTCGTCGTCGTCCGAAGACACATTGGTTTTCGCACTCTAACTTTAGTTTAAGTGAATGGATCTCTTTGAAATTTTACCATAAGGTTCCATACCACAAAAGGAAGGTGGGAATACATTTTGGGGGTTATGGTACCAACAGTTAAGGAATTAGGGGCCAAAAAGGGGCCAAAAATAAGCATTTTCTAGTTTCCAGACAATAACTCTGGAACGGTGTATGGATCTCTCTGAAATTATACTACAAGTTTCCATACCACAAAGGGATGGTTGGGATTTGCTTTGGGGGGTTATGGCTCAAACCGTTTAGGAATTAGGGGCAACAAAGGGGGAAAAACAAGGTTGTCCTGGTTAATGGACAAATACTATAGTACAAAACATAATTTAAAGCAGTGTAAGGGAGATAAATCAAATACATCATTGAAATTATCTCCCTTACACTGCTTTTAAATTATGTATAAAGTAATGGTTAATGAACAATTAAGATAATTTAAAACAGTGTAAGGGAGGTAATCCAAATACAACGTTTTGGTTACTTCCCTTACACTGCTTTTAAATTATGTTTAAAGAAATGCATATTTATAAAGGAAGACCAGTTAAATTTATGCAAATGTTGCATCTTTTTTTTTTACAAAAAAATCCATATGAAAGATTTGACACTATATTTTAAATTGTATTATAAAATAGATTAAGTTAGCACTATGGTAAATTTAAATGGGTAATTATGGTTGCAAACTCCATTGGAAATTTGAATTGAGATTATGACCATATCTTGAGGGAAAGAATTTTTTTGGGGAAAAAAAGGGGGGGGGGTAAAAAGAAATTGTGGGGGGTCAATTTTTTCTCATTTCAGATTTCAGAAATTAAAAAGAATTATTCTTCAAATATTTTTTTTTTTTTCAAATTTCAAATATTGAAAAATTTCAAGAAGTAATCTTTAATTGCACAGTATGGCGCATTAGATTTGTAAAATCTTTGACCACATTTATTTATTTGTTATGCCGAATCTAACCGTGTATTTAGATTTTTAATTTTGGGTCCAGTTTTCAAATTAGTCTACATTAAGGTCCAAAGGGTCCAAAATTAAACTTTGTTTGATTTTAACAAAAATTGAATATATGGGGTTCTTTGATATGCTGAATCTAACCATGTATTTAGATTTTTTTTTGTGGATCCCGCTATCAAATTGGTTCATATTGAGGTCAAAAGGGTCCAAAATTAAACTTCGTTTGATTTCATAAAAAATTGAATTATTGGAGTTCTTTGATATGCCAAATCTAACCATGTATTTAGATTTTTAATTTTGGGTCCTGGTTTTTAAATTGGTCTACATTAAGGTCCAAAGGGTCCAAAATTAAACTTAGTTTGATTTTAACAAAAATTGGATTCTTGGGGTTCTTTGATATGCTGAATCTAAACATGTGTTTAGATTTTTGATTATGGGCCCAGTTTTCAAGTTGGTCCAAGTTGGGGTCCAAAATTAAACTTTGTTTGATTTCAACAAAAATTGAATATATGGGGTTCTTTGATATGCTGAATCTAAACATGTATTTAGATTTTAGATTTTTGGCCCAGTTTTCAAGTTGGTCCAAATTGGGGTCCAAAATTAAACTTCGTTTGATTTCAACAAAAATTGAATATATGGGGTTCTTTGATATGCTGAATCTAACCATGTATTTAGATTTTTTATTTGTGGACCCGCTATCAAATTGGTTCATATTGAGGTCAAAAGGGTCCAAAATTAAACTTTGTTTGATTTCATCAAAAATTGAATTATTGGGGTTCTTTGATATGCCAAATCTAACCGTGTTTTTAGATTTTTAATTTTGAGTCCCGTTTTTTAAATTGGTTCACATTAAGGTCCAAAGGGTCCAAAATTAAACTTAGTTTGATTTTAACAAAAATTGAATTCTTGGGGTTCTTAGATATGCTTAATCTAAACATGTGTTTAGGTTTTTGATTATGGGCCCAGTTTTCAAGTTGGTCCAAGTTGGGGTCCAAAATTAAACTTTTTTTGATTTCAACAAAAAATGAATATAAGGGGTTCTTTGATATGCTGAATCTAACCATGTATTTAGATTTTTTATTTGTGGGCCCCGCTATCAAATTGGTTCATATTGAGGTCAAAAGGGTCCAAAATTAAACTTTGTTTGATTTCATCAAAAATTGAATTATTGGGGTTCTTTGATATTCCAAATCTAACCGTGTATTTAGATTTTTAATTTTGGGTCCCGTTTTTTAAATTGGTCTACATTAAGGTCCAAAGGGTCCAAAATTAAACTTAGTTTGATTTTATCAAAAATTGAATTCTTGGGGTTCTTTGATATGCTGAATCTAAACATGTGTTTAGATTTTTGATTATGGGCCCAGTTTTCAAATTGTCAAAGTTGGGGTCCAAAATTAAACTTTGTTTGATTTCAACAAAAATTGAATATATGGGGTTCTTTGATATGCTGAATCTAACCATGTATTTTGATTTTGGACATTGGACCATAATAGGTAAATTAAAAAAATTCAAGTTCTTAGACCACATTCTTTCTATGTCAGAAACCTATGCTGTGTCAAATATTTAATCACAATCCAAATTCAGAGCTGTATCAAGCTTGAATGTTGTGTCCATACTTGCCCCAACTGTTCAGGGTTCGACCTCTGCGGTCGTATCAAGCTGCGCCCAGCGAAGCATTTTATTCCATTTGATAAGGGACCGTCCGATTTGAATTTTCCTAGGAGATCGGTACTTTCGTTATTCTACTTTTGGCTCCCACACATGTTTAATGACCTAAAAACGTCTGTTAGTTCTTGGTGTGAATACGTGTTCGGCTTCATTACTTTTGGTCTAGAAGTTGCAAAAACGTATGCCATGTAAAGAAAACTTTGTGTGGTGTATTTGAGTGCCTAAAATCTCTCGGAGCACACTCCGGTAGAATCCTTGTGATTTTATTCAACCAAATTGTTGAAGGATTTAAAAATTTATCGATAATATCTACACAGTATCTGGTGTTTTGGAAGTAGCATGAAGTAAATAGTACATTTTGAAAATGTTCAGTTTAAAAAAAGAATGTTTGTTAAGACTAAATTTACAAATTCCTAAGACCTTTTTACTCACGTATTTGATTTGATGACCCATAATCGTTATAACATTTCCGTGTTTTCACAAAAAAAACATTTTAGATCATGTTTGAATAACTTTCCAGAATTTCGTTGTAACTTAGATCAATATCATACATTTACTTATAGTGCTATCAAGTTACTATCTTGCTTGTTTTTCGTATACTTGAATTCAGTGTCATCTTTTGTTTTTACTATAAAAAACCTTATTTTATCGTTTTCGTTATTGTTACCGTGAAATTCACATATTTTACAATTTTTCATTTAATACAATGAAAATGAAGGATCAACATTGGTTAGATGTATTCAAGCCACTATTGTTGTCTTAAATATGATGGTAGCACCCTGAACACATGACCACTGTTTGCCAACAAATAACCTGTGCGTTTGTCAATCAATGTGTACCCCCAAATCATTGTTTTTAACCGTAAGATATTATATTCATTGAAATAACTGTCTACAATAATAAAATATTGAATTAAAAAAAACCACTTTGAGATTTTTATACCCAAGTAGGAGATGATTTATGTCGCATTGAGTATAAGTGTTCTTTTTCTAAACACTCTTCAATGTCGTATTTGATTTTGATATTATAACTGTTTTGCATCGAGACCCACTAATGAGACTTTTTAATGCAAACCCGCGTCTTGCGTACCAAATTATAAACCTGGTATCGCTGATGAGTTTCCACTATAATACCAAATTTTTCAATAAGCAAAATGACATTAATAAATGATATAAAACAACCATCGAACAATTTCAATTGCTACATGCGAAGTGATTTAAAGAAAGAATATTAATTAAAAAAAAAGAAAAGAAAAAAGCGAAATCGAAAAAAACATTTCTTATTGTAAAATGTATTCATTGTAAGGGTGTGGATATATGCTAATATCCGTCTATCTCAAACTACTGTTTCTGTTACTCATTTAAACTGTTGAGCTATTTTATTGACAGGCGATCAGTCAAAGAATGAAATTGATACAACTGACCCTGGTCCGACACAAAATGTTAATCTTGATAACATTCAGACCGGTGAAACTGAATGTAATAATCCACCGAAAACTACAAAAAGTTCTTCTATTAGTGATTTATCTGATATCGAAAATCCTGAAGGTGACAAGATACATTTAAAAATTGATGTCGACGTTTCTGCAAACTCTAGTAGTACCAGTCAAGAACATCTAGGTATGTACTGTAATCTAAATTTGGAACCACTAGAATCCGCAAATACAACTGCAAATTGCATATCAATAACTTACTACAATTGGTAATGGACTAAAGCAAAACAATAATTTTCCACTCTTTAAAAGGTCAATTACAATCTTCTAATTAAATCTATTTAAAAATTGACCGGTGATAATATAAACGTAGCACAAATACGTCGCTTTTTGTGACGTTGATCCATTCATGTGAATTGCAGTTTTTGCTTCATTTTTGGTGTCCTGGTGTGCTGTCGTAAATGTCCGTTGTTATTCTGTGGTTAACATGTTGTGATGTACTATTTTATTATTTATTTCTGTATTTCTCTATGCTGACTGTTCTTGCGTTTGTTTGTACTGTACAACTGTCACGTAGTCATTTGATCGATATTTTTAACATTTTAAGATGTCCTGTACCAAGTCAGGATTATGGCAGTTGTTATCAAATAGTCCGTAATGTAATGTGGCATTTGTTTTTATTGCAGTTCAGTGTTTATGTTGTTCCAATGTATAGTTGATGTGTTGTCCTCTGTTTTAGTTTTTTTACCCAGATTTGTTTTCGCTTAATCGACTATTGAAAAGCGGTAAACTACTGTTGGCTTTATTAGGGCCCCGCCGAATGGCGGACGCCCTATAGTGATCAGTCTGTCCGTCCGTCCGTCTGTCCGTCTGTCCGTCTGTCCGTCTGTCCGTCCGTCCGTCCGTCCTTAACAAATTGTGTCCGCTCTATATCTAGAGAACCGTTATGATTTCAAAGTTTATACTTGACATGTATATTAACCAACACCAGAGGGTATGTCATAATGTATGTTTAACTTCCTAGGTCAAAGGTCAAGGTCAAAAACTTTGGTTTTAGTTGACAACCCCATGTCCTATGGTAAAGATCGTGTCCGCTCTATATCTTGAGAACCGTTATGATTTCAAAGTTTATACTTGATATGTATATAAACCAACACCAGAGGGTGTGTCATAATGTATGTTCAACTTCCTAGGTCAAAGGTCAAGGTCAAAAACTTTGGTTTTAGTTGACAACCCCATGTCCTATGGTAAAGATCGTGTCCGCTCTATATCTTGAGAACCGTTATGATTTCAAAGTTTATACTTGATATGTATATAAACCAACACCAGAGGGTGTGTCATAATTTATGTACAACTTTTTAGTTCAAAGGTCAAGGTCAAAAACTTTGGTTTCAGTTGACAACCCCATGTCTAATGATAAAGATACAAATTTTTTACCACACATTATTCACAGCGGGGCCCACAGAGATGGCTCCCATCTCAATGATATCTAGTTTAGACAAAAAAAACGTTACCATGAAACATGTTCCACATTGTGGTTTTTCGTTTATCTATTTTTTAAAAACGTTTTGTAATACTGCGATGTTTAATTAAAGTCCCAATCCGAAAGAAACTATTGTTTATTGAAAGTTGTGTATCAAAATGCACGTATACTGTGTTATGCATTTTCAGATTTTAACCTATAACTCATAATCATTATATCTGTCCAAAGCCTTGGATCTTGTCAGTTTCTGTGACAGTAATTAGGTTTTTTTTTATACTAGTGAATATCTATTTTTAAATCTTGGTATACATTGATCTAATACAGAATTGGCATCATCACTTGATTTTTTTTGTCAATTTCAGTTTAAAACAGAACATTATAGTACTGTTTCCGCTACTAAAATTATATACTCGTTATCGTTGTTTCATAATACAACATATAAAAATGACTAGGATAGAGAAGAAACCAATCCGAATGCCGTCGTCCGTCATTGTCGTCCATCTTGTTTGAAAAAATGTGTCCAACTTATCAATAAACATGACCTCCAGGGCTAAAATAAAACATATGGGTTAAATGCAGTTATTGGCTTATATCTCTGAAACTAGAGTAAATCTGACAAGTGTACACATGTACATCAGGTTTAGATCTATCTTCCCTGAAATTTTCAGACGAATTAGACAACCTATTGTTTGGTTGCTGTCCCTGAATTAGTAATTTTAAGGAAATTTTTCAGATTTTGGTCACTATTCAAGATCTACAAATAAGTCAAACACGAACAAAATTGTCAATTTATTCCTTTTAAGGAATTATTGCCATTATAGTTTTGGACATGTAATCGTTTACAAAATTTTCTCCTCTGAAACTACATTGACAAATTCAACCAAACTTGGCCACATTCATAATAAGGATATCTAGTTGATAAATCTATCCGATGACCCTGTCTACCAACAAAAATGGCCACTGTAGCTAAAACTAGAACATAGGGGTAAACTGCATTTTGTGTCTATTATCTTGAAATCTGCTATGAGGAGGGCAAAATCTAACAGGGGCAAACATGTTCAGAATGTTGAGATCTACCTACTCACTCATTCTCAGGAAATCGGGTCAAATACGTGATTTTTTGTCCCTGTGGATATTTGAAGCCTTATCTGCTTTGAAATGTCGAAAAAAGTATGTTTTTGAAAATCCAGGAAGATATATATCTAAAACTAACACAAATGCTACGTAGATAAACCCATCGTAGATACCAGGATGAAATTTTGTATTTACGCCAGACGCGCGTTTTGTTTACTAAAGACTCATCAGTGACGCTCGAATCAAAAAAAGTTAAAGGCCAAATAAAGTACGAAGTTGAAGTGCATTGAGGAACAAAAATTCCTAAAAGTTTTGCCAAATACAGCTAAGGTAATCTATTCCTGAGGTAGAAAAGCCCTTAGTATTTCAAAAATTCAAAGTTTTGTAGAAGAATATCAAAATTACCCCAGTCTTACACTAAAACGTATTATTTTGAGTAAAACTAATGTCCCTGATGGTATAGATATTTTTTCTGTTGAGTGACCGACTTAAAAAGCTTGAAAAACATGTACTTATGTTGCCTTTCCCGATCTATCACCATTTAGCCAATTCATATTTATGCCATTTTAAGTAGTTTGTCATAAAATAAAACCAACACAGTTTTGAGAATATATGTCACCATTTCTTTGACCAGATACGTTATCAACTTTTAATTAGAATCTACATTTATCTAAAGGTCAATTGAAAGATTAATTATGTTGCTTTTGAAGTGTTAGTCCATAGTTGTAACGTAAACAAATTTATTTAATGTGTATCTATAATGGTTTAGAAAATTGATAAGCTACTAAACTACGAAATGGCTTTTGTACGTTAATTTTAAACAGATACGTTACTATGAATTATTTCCATAAACATTAACCACTTGCACGAGATCAATTAAACTGCATAAATATGTTTTTACATATTTTATCTTCCCTTTTCAACTGTGAAAAATGTCCTGTTATCAGAAACATATTTGAAATAATTAACCAAGAATAATTTGTTAAACAGATACGGTACCAACATATACGTTACTATAATTCGATTAACGATGAAATATCGATATCATTTCGGAATTCAGACATATGAGCTATCTGTTTATACATTTTTGTTTTGTTTAATGATCAATGAATAATATAATCAGTACAACAAGTTGTGAGCTGCAATTTGCGAAGACATATGAAGGACAACCTCAAATTTGGTAATTGTACTGATTTTAAAATGAAATCAACAAGAGCAGGTGTTGATAATTGATATTTAAACATATTTTGATTAATATCTTGATACATATTCTATTTCAGAACAACTAGTTGACATGTTTTTTTTGTCTTCATAGTAAAATGTAATCAAGATAAAGATTCAAGAATAATTCATTAACTTTTCAGAGTATATCACCAAAATTTATGACTATTAATAACATATTAGGTACTTCTAGAATAGTTTTGGAGCAAATATGAAAGAAATGACACTTTGTATGAAAATGTGCTTGCGAAGAAAATAAAACATAAGGGTAACGTATCTGTTATGTGGAAAACAGTGACTCATAGTCTTGACCACGATATTATTTTCACAGTCAGAGCTAAGATCAACCACTTTGTAATCTTTCAAATCATATATAAACGAATCGTTTGAGCATTATTATAAGTTGGTTTACGCAAATTTATTCTCCAATTATAATTTTGGCAAATGGTCCCGATTTACTGAGAATCAGTGTACTATATCTTTAAGTCAAACCAGACAGATGACTTCTTATAGAAGTGTTGCCCTTAAATGTTTTATATTTTTTTTTTTTGCGTATCATTTTGAAAACAATTACAGATATTTAGAAACTTAAATAAGAAAAAGTGATCAGTTGAACAAGATCTCCAAATAAGGAAAACATGTCTGAAATCCCGTTTGTTAGAATTACTATATAGGTTGTCCCTTTTTAGCAAAAACGAGATCTATGTGGCTCTCTTCTTGTTCGATTAAAATAATACCTATGCATTTTGAATCGTAATTCTAAGTCAGGTCACACCTCTTAAAAGATGTAAATCTTGGGTCTAGGAAAAAAATCAACAAAAAGATTGACACAATTCTGTTGTCAGTCGCCATGATGATCAGTAACTTTGCTGTGACAACCAATTGAAAAACTTAATACAAACATAGCAAAATCAATCAAAGTATCAACGCTGATCCTTTACACCAGAAATGATAAAACAAAAAATATATAAAATATGTATGTTCATGAAACAACAGCACTGCATACTTGAAATGTACGCTTTAACTTGAAAAATTACAATGGTAAATGGGTTGATAGCAGTTAAAGAATAGATTTTGATCCACATAGATTCCTTTAAAAAAAGTATTATTGTTGCATTGTTTCAATCATCAATTATAAAAAGAAACATATCAGGTGATCGGCAGGCTCCTTGGTTTCATTTGACAAAGTAAAAGTAGATTTCGATAGCTGTACAAAGCATGATATTCTTTAAAACCTTGAAAGATCTAGATCTTTTATGTAATAAGCCCGGAACAAATGTGAAAGAATTCGACGAAAAAAAAAAACAAGAATGGAATTCGGCTCTGTAAAATATAGTTATCGTGGAAATATTAACGCATGCTATATATCATCATTAAGACCGGGCGGGTTATCTATAGTCATCTGAAACCATGCTTTAATGGTTTGGATTGATGCTTGAGAAGGCTGGTGTAGGTAAGACAGTATAATTGCAGATAACCTAACGTAGCATATAATCTTTGCTTGATGACGCTGTTTTTTTCATGATTACTTGATGCTTTTGATTATCGATTCTAAAATATTAATTCAGATGGAAAGGTACTAATAATACTTCATGCTTTCTTTGACTGATCAAGCATATATTTTTCAACCTTTGAGTACAACACAAACCATAACTGGTTCTTATTTTTGTGCTCTATCAATTAGGGAGCATCTGTAAGAGTTGACTTTGCACTTTTATTATTATATTGTGAATACAAAATGTAGAGAAACTGGCTTACAACATTATGAAAAAAGAAGTAATATTGCCCCATAATCGTATGTTTAATTGTAATTAATACAGGTGCATGTTCAAATTTAATACCACCCGCAGCATCCAGCGATGTTAACAAACAAGGAAAAGGAAAATCAACTGACAGTGCAAAGAAAAAGAAAAAAAAGAAAGAAGACGACAAAGTGAGAATATTTAATGAAAAACAAGCTACTGATACTGATACAAAATTTTTACATGTGTTTTGCTACTGTTTATATGATTATTTAATGTATTTATATATGGACGTCTGAAAAGAGAGAAACACCACACAATTCAAACAAAGTTGATAATAGATACAAAAGTCAATAAAGAGATATAATATCCTTAACATGATGAAATGTATGGTCATTTCCACCTATAGAATTGGAATGTCATTTTATTCTCTCATGATAAGATTCCAACATACATAGAAAATAAGTAATTTTTTAAGTAAAGCCTTGATATGAATATCAAATCTTTAACTAAGTGCTGCAAATAAATTGTTTGAAGTATAACTGAATCATCGCTTAATAGAATGAATAGAACACTAAAAAGCTGTGAAAACATCATGATAGGATTAAAAGAACATCCGGATTGAATAAGGTTTGTAGCTATGAATACAATGATCAATGCGTATCATCTGCTTCCTCAGATGCTCTTTAAAATTTAATTTTATGGTTTAGTTACCAACAAACAATATGTAAATGCCGTTTATCAAAATAAAAAAGATCGAAGTACTTTCACATCTTCTCTTCATTGAACTACTATTAAATTACTGTTAAAAATATACCTTTATTAAAGTCAAACTTTATCTTCAATATAATGATTTTAGTTGAATAAAAAAAACTTGAATATGGCAATTGTTATCAAATAGACCGTTTCTTTGTATTTTGGCGATTTATTTTGTGTTGCAGTTGAGTGTTTCTGTTGTTTTCCTCTTATAGTTGATGTGTTTCCTCGGTTTTGGTTTGTGACACGGATTTGTTTTCGCTTTTTTGTTTATGACTATTGATCAATAGTGAACTACTTTTGTCTTTATATATTTGGTCCAAATGAAGAAAGTATCTAATAACAAATGTGTTATTAAATGTTGTTGCAGAAATTTGAAAAGAAAATCGCAAAAAAATTAGAGACAGATAAAAGAAAAAAAGAAAAAGCAGAAGAGAAGCGACGAAAAATCGAAGAAGACATAGACAAAAAACAAAAAGAAAAGGAAAAACAATTAAAAAAAGTAAACGACAAGAAAAATCAAGAAGATAAAAAAGCAGTTATAACTAAGGCGAGTCTGCAACCCAAAACAGAACCAAAAAATATGGGGAGCTCTGTAGATAACAAGGTCAGTATTACAATTTGAAAGTTTATAGAATTACATACTGTATTCGACTTTGAGATATTTTTGTTATAAATTCATTTTACAAATTGTTGACTAAGATTCTAAGTAATTTTATAAATTGAAACACAAAATTCTTTTAGCAGACACCTTACTCGCCCAAATTAAACAAAATGTAGGTAAATGGAGTATTTGTTGGAATTTTGGCATATCCTTCAAAAAAGACGTTGATTAGTAAGTTGTACAGCGCAAAATAAAAAAAAACATTGGTACAAATAAGATTGGTGATTACGACCAAGCATGTATAAAGCCAGTGCAGAAATCAATTACAACTTGACGTTTTAAAGTTAGAAAAACATGTTACGTACAAATATGTTATGCATTATGACACATGCTCTTAGTGTTGACATGCACAAAATAATGCGACTGTGTCAATTAGATTGAAAAAAGTAAAATAAAAAAAATTGGAATTTTACTTTGAGTTCGGGTTTTTTGTTATTTCACTTGTTATTCGGGACATTTGTTTTAATCTTTTATATGAATGTATATATTTATCAATTTAGTGAAACGAACAAGGTGCGATCGAAAGCTGGTTACCATTCTGTTTTCAACAATGAAGAAAATCCTATACCTTATACTCATAGTAACTTAAAAGAAAATCCCGGCATGCTAGTGGAAAAAAAAAACCAATGGCCTGATTAATTTTACAAATTATAACTATTACAACAGATAGTTACAAGGTACCAGCTACTACAACTGGATTTAAAAATTGAGAATGAAAATGGTGAATATGTCAAAGAGACAACAAACCGACCAAAGAGCAGATATAAGCCGAAGACCACCGATGGATCATCAATGCAGCGTGAAAATCCCGCACCCGAAGATGGGCCTCAGCTGGCTCCTAAATAAAAATGTGTATTAGTTTAGTAAAAATGAACGTCATAATAAACTCCAAAACATATAAATGAACTAAAATTAATAAAAAAAAATTTATTACTTACAAAGGCCAGAGTCTCCTCACTTGGGACAGGTGCAAATATGCGGCGGGGTTAAACATGTTAAGTGAGATCTCAATCCACTGTAATACATCTAGCCAATGTAGAATAAACAAACACACAGTATACAAACAGTTAAACTCAGTTTAAAGGAAGTCCAAGTCCGATGTCAGAATTTGTAACAAGGTTACTTATTCAGGTCAGACACAGGAAAAATTAACACGATAGTGAACGCTCAACCCTCCCCATAAACTGGGTATGCTTTTGTTTTTTGAAATTGGGGTATCCTTGATCAAACATATAACTTTAAAACTATTAAATGGGAGGTAGAATTACAAAAAAAACCAAAATAATAATAATAAAAAAAAAATAACAGACCAATTACAATATATATTACCGGTTATTTTATCGCATTGATGCATACGGCTTGCTCCCTTCGGAGTTCATGTGGTTCCCTATTTTTTAAATGTTCTTTGCCACTTGTCACTCGATTTACGAGATGTGAACATTCATACTACTGTCGCCTTCATCTATATCATATAAACATGATAACTGTACTTGCTTGGCTTTATAACTATTTTGATATGAGCGTCACTGGTGAGTCTTATGTAGACGAAACGCGCGTCTGGCCTATTAAATTATAAAACTGGTACCTTTGATAACTATTTACACCACTGAGTCGATGCCACTGCTGGTGGACGTTTCGTCCCCGAGGGTATCACCAGCCCTGTAGTCAGCACTTCGATGTTGACACGAATATCAATTATATGGCCATTTTAATAAATTTTCTGATTACAAAAGTATGACTTTTTTCGAAATACTAAGGATTTTCTTATCCAAGGCATAGATTACCTTAGCCGTATTTGGCAAATTTTTTTGGAATTTTGGGTCCTCAATGCTCTTCAACTTTGTACTTGTTTGGCTTTATAACTATTTTGATCTGAGCGTCACTGATAAGTCTTATGTAGAGGAAACGCGCGGCTGGAGTTTTAAATTATAAGCCTGGTACCATTGATAACTATTAAAGGATGAAAATGTAATTCATTTATAGAATGGTGCGAAAACCGAGGAAAAACCTGTATTGCAGAATGACGGAAACCAAGCGAAAACAGAGGCAGTGTCGGATGATATGTCAACATCATTACAAAAAACAACAGTAAGATTTTGATTACAAAGGAGGTGGAATTCGACTTGAATAAAACACTGAAAATATCTAAAAATCTTTCAAGACTTTGTAAAATTTTATTGCAAAGACGTATTCAGTAAGGAATGAGTACATGTTTGTGCCAGTAAATTTAACTCTACTGAATAAATGTAGTCTAGAAATACTTTCCCTGTTTAGGATGTTTATCGGTGATAATACTATCCTATAATACCCATCTAGTGGCAACATGGACAAGTTAATATTTTAAAAAGTCATTTACATCATTTAGTCATAAATTACGTACTTGATTCGACTTTTTGGCGTTTTAAACGTCATTGACGAATCTTTTGAAAAAAGGAAAAAATCTTTCATTTTTTATGTTATATTAATATGATTAACTAATACCTTTATATAGCTGTACTCGTGATGCTTGAATGTGTCGACGCCTGTTTATTGACGTTTGGACGTTGTCTTACTGGAACATATTTTCCTTACACATCATTGCACTTACTGATTTGTTTTGAATTAACCATTAAATATCTTTAAATCATGTTTGTTTGAAAAAAAAACCCGTCTGATAATTTAAAGCTGTCGTAACGGTTAGTTGTTTCTGTATCCTTCGTCTACTGAAATATACTCATACGTTTTGAACTTTACATAGTTTGATACCCTAATTGATATATTGCCTGACACGTTTTTGGCGCATCTTTCGGAATATAAGTTTTTAAATCTCTACAAACTCATATTTGGAGTGCCCTTTTAAAAGGTTTAATCTAAGCGTCACTTATGTATGTGTCTAGCATACCAAATTCTTATCCTCAAATTTCTATGAGTGTTTTTTATTATGATGGATGATAAGCAGCAAGTGGATAAATATTAGATACATTTGTTTCTCTTATTTTTGTGTTATTTTCATGTTTCTTGATCAGTGAGAGAAAAATGTTTCTCCTCACTAGTGAAATATTTGTTCTTGGCAAATGATTGGTCGAAATTTAAATATGACGTCAAATTTTCTTGGTTTCTTCTGAATTTTCCTATTGTGACGTCATGAAAAAAGCAGACCGTTTCTGATGACGTCACATATAAAGAGCCAGTTTCTGAAATGTTTGAAAATAGATGATACAAATCAGTAGTGAAACAGATTCCACCACTTCAACTCGTGTATTGCGATATTTGTTCACTCTCAACAGTAAAATTTTGATTATGTAGAAAGCTCGGTCAGCCTCGCCCTTTAAATATTAAAATTTAATGTCTCGAGTGGAGAAACATCGTAACACACTTGTTGCAGTGATGGAATTTATATATCTCTAACATTAATACGAAATTGTTATTCATGTAGTTCATATGATAATTTATTTGGTTACTGCTATTGATAGAAGGATTGCCTGTTAAATTATCTCTTTAATGTGATAATTCTTTACGAAAACTTATTTTTGGTATTTCCCGAAGTCACAATTCGTTCTTCCTCTCCAAGTTAATAATATAAGAGAAGGCGATTTATTTTTCAATTTTACGTTTTATTTGTAACATTACATTAATACCATTAAAGATCAGCAATTTCGTTTTGTCCAGAGTACCTATATTAACATAGTTCTTTTAAATTTTATTTTATCGTTTCCTGTTCCTAAATATATAACTTGATGTACTGTTGTTTTGTACTATGGTTTCATGTCTTTCTTTAATTTTCGTTGTGACAACATGTCATCGTTTTTTTTTCTATTTGTATTTTTTTTAGCCTTTAAATATGTAATTGGTCAGATATTTTAGTAGTTTCTTTCTGCGGATACACAAAATAAAATGGTAACTGTAAATGGAAAAATATATTCACATTTATATAGTATAAACTCAGTGCACACGAATACATCCTCAAAATGTCATAATCGATAAGACTTAGTGTAAAATTATACTCCAAGAAGAGATTGTGCTAGTTCCTCTTGTGAAATAATGAACAATAAAATATATAAAAAACTGTGTTTAAATAGAAACATTCACAGATACGAAAAAAGTAAAACCAGCAACTAATTGGGTCTTATTTTAATTTATATTCAATTTGGAAGGACATCTGACTAGGGGAACTGCTTTTATCTAAAATATCCTTCCTTATATACGATTTTTGTTAAAGTTACGAAACATAAAAGCCTAGATCAAATGCAAAGTTAACTTATTTGAACTAAAGAGATCATTCAAATTTAGTTTATGTTATATGTTTGTAGATACCTGTCTATTGAAAAATAATGTATGTAGTTTTTCAGATGTCTTTTTGTCGTTTGTGTCTTTGAAATATTCATTCATTGACACACATCACATTCTCCCTTGTGTGAAATGTTGATTCTATATTGATTTACCTCTAGTGTGAAATATTATGACATTACTATTATAGGCAACAACCAACAAGGCTCATGAAACTGTCACACAGCAGAATTCACCACAAGCAAGGTGGGCCGTCTAAGTTACACTATAAAATTAATTTTTGGCTAAAACGTTTTGAATATCGTGTTCAGCTTTCAATTACAAGATTAAACAATATACATACATTGGCTAAATGAGATTTTAGTGTAAAAGGTATTTAAAAAAACCTACCGAACTGCAAGGTCAATTCAAAAAGGTTCAACGGAACACAGCTACGAACAAAACATTGAAATATTCTTGGCAGTTCAAACATTCATACTCAGTAGCAAACGATTAGTCATATGATTACAAACATATTGTTCAACAAGTATACAGTGCATATTCATATCTAAAATAATTGTGTCCGTTCATAATCATGCACTTTATTATTGTATTTCCGATGAATCAGATTTTTTTTCTCTTCTTGTATTCACAACCTTATTACATGTTTTGTTTCTTTTCCAACTAGTGTAACATTGTTTAATTTTACACATTCTACTCTTTGAGTATTACATTAGGAAATGTTCTTATTTGAATTAGGAAACGGATTGATATAAGTTAACAGCTTGTTTCCGGATCCTTATTAATTAACTTGAATTTAATTAATGAAATATGTTTACACTAATTCAAAAAGAGAGAAGTCCATAAAAATTAATAAAATCAAACGTTACAATATATCCACACACGTAAAATATGAAATTATTTAATTTTCATGTAGTGACAACCAAACTAATGCGAACACCACAGATGAGTATGCTGTTACTGTTTATTTCCATGCTATTTTTTCTCCCACTATACTGCAAAACCATGAAAAAGACGATGTGTTCGTAAGAGTAAATGCCAAAGATGTAAGAATGAATTATAAACGGTAAGCATTTTTTGGATAGGGTGTATTATCAAATAATATAATCTTCTCATGTTCATGTAATATACATATATTGTTATGAATTTTACTGTATGAGTTAACATAAATATATATAGTATAGACATATAGAGTAAAGACAACATATTTCAAGCTTACGAAGGTATCTAGGGTAAAATGAATTAACTTCATATCTATCATGTAACAACCCTCCCCTCAAAAACTATGAAATAAAAAACCATCCTGTCAGGTTATTTTGACAGATTCTTTAAAATGCAATGTCCAAAAATTATTTGTTTTGTTCTCCATGAATGAAAATTAATGGTTGACTTGCAGTTTTTAGCACATATTTATACTTTAAGTTATCTTTGGGTTCTTTTCGATTATAAAAATATGCATTTTGTCACAATGGTTACCACCCACGTAGTATATTTTTACTAGATAATGCAGTTGGTTGTTCTTTTTCGTTTACGTAATGTATGAAGCAAACTAAGACTTAAGATACATTTTGAAAATTATTTCAGTAGTGTTTTGTTGTTGATTTGATGGGAAGGAGCATTTTGTATTCTGATGTTTTTGAATGTTATTCATAGTTTTAAATACCTGGACACAGGTGGACCCGTTCTATTACATAGGTTGCAATGAATTACCGTGATTTCCCAGTGAAATAAAAACCCGATAATTTCACTCCTCTGACGTCATACAACAATAGGTGTTGTTACGGCGTTGTCGATGACGTCGCATCAAAGCCAATTGTGAAAGCGTAGAAAAAGATATAGTCCCTTACATTTTCTACTTTAATTCCATCAAAGAGCCCATTGTTAATTCAATAAAAAGAATAACTAATCATAGAATTCAAATATCGAAAAATATTCATCTCGTGACCGACAAACATTGATAATCAACACTTGCGCTACGCGCATTCGTGAATAGATGTGTTGTTCGGTCACTCGTTTATTTGAATTCTTTGATAAGCCATTCTATAAATACTCATCATCGGACACCCATCAACTGTGCCATGGCTGTGTACAATTTTCACAGATAAATGTAACAATATTAATGGTTATTATCTGTAAAGGTTAAGGCTAGGAACTTATTTATTTTATAGATATAGACTGCATTCTTGATTTTGTTATGGAGATACTCCTTTAATATCAGCCACTGTTGGTATAATATGTACTTACACAGTTCTTTTTTTCGACAATGGAATGCTTTGAAATTCTACACGATGATACATAAAGAAGATTTCAATTATTTCTAGGACAATTAATACACCAAAACCAGAACACGAAAGCTACCAGTACGAAGGTATGACTGTCATCAAAAAAAGTAAAACCACCCCTTGGACAGTTACGTACAACTATTTTGTGAAAGTTGGTGGTAAAGAGGAAATAGAAGAATTCATTTTCAATCAGGGACAGATAGACTTTACTGCAAGAACTATCCCATCTGAAAGAATGGCACACAAAGGTAAAATTGAATAAAGAACTAAAAGTTTGCTCGAAAACAAAAGACCGCATCATCGGGTCATTAACCAAAACATGTTTAGAATAAGATGAAAACAGTCTGCAAGAATAAAAAATCTCAAGAAATTTGTTCCAAAAAAATGAATTTCACTAGAAACAAAAGCTGTTTTTAGCTCAACTAACTCAAAGGACAAAGTGAACTTTTCTCATTACAGTCTATCGTCGTCGGTTGTCGTCCGTTAACTTTTACACAAACCTTCGTCTCTGATACTATTGGGCCAATTGGAACCAAACATATCCACAATTCCCCTTGATGTAACTAGTTGAAAAATGGTGTCCAACAACCCCGCCTGCCAACCAACATGGCCAGCATGTCTAAAATTAGAAAATTGGGGCAAAATCTTAGTTGTGTCTATTAGTATAAAAACCGCTATTGATCGAGAAAATCTGACAGGTGCAGATATGTTCAGAATGTCAAGATCTGGGTTTGAGTAAATACGTCAAAATTGTAGATGACTCTTTAGAGAAATTATTGTCTTTTTAAGGATGTACTTAGGTGAAATTAAAAAATCTCGAATTTAAAATTGATAATAATTCAGAAATGTATTAGTTTAGGAACATAATCAGCTAAAAATATTGATAGGTTATGAAGCACCTTTTCGATATATTTGATATTTTTAAGAATGGCGAGAAAAGGATGACTTGAACTTCTGCCTTATATTTGAATTGGTATTATTTGAGTCTCAAATCGAAAGAAAAGAAATCTAGAATCTGCTTTAATTTTGGTAAATGACCTTTTTTGAGCTATTGAAGTCTTATATGAAAAGAAAAATGGGTGTTATTGGGAAAAATAATATACCCTGTATCGTAAGAAAAAAACCAGGGAGTTCGAATATCTGACAAAAACTCCTAAACCTGACCTTAGTACACCCTTAATGACGATAATTGCCCTTTTTGCATATAATTTTGAAATCTATAATGAAAAGATAGAAACTTTGAATAGCTAATAAACTCATCGTAGATACCATGAAATTTTGTATGCCAGACGCTCGTTTCGTCTACAAAAGACTCATCAATGACGCTCGAATCAAAAATGATTAGCAAGAAAAGATCTATATTAATTCGAAAATGCTGAAATGGTTGGTTGACTCTTTGTAACAGTTTCCCCATTAAAAGAGTATGTTTACCAATTGTTTACCATATATGCCTATCATCTTGAAAACTATTATAGACATAGATCCAAATGAGAAAATTAATTATTTCGACAGGATTTACAAAGAAGTCACCATGGCCCAAATCGTCAGTCAACTTCTCATAAGAGTTATTTTCCTTAGATATTGATTTTGAACAAGTTTTATGCGTATTATCTTTCAAACTATGGTAGATAAATATAAACTATAAAAGACAATAATGATTAGCAGGACAAGATTTACAAATACATTGTACAAGACTGAAATTGTCAGTTAACTGTTTATGGAGTTATTGCCCTTTGATATTGAATTTTACCAAAAAGTTGCCATTGTTGAATAATCGGATGAGCAACACAACTCTTTAGATCTCTAGTTTTGTTTCATATTATACCGTAACACATTCAAAAGGCTGTTGTGCCTTATTATAGAAACGGTGTCTGCCTGTTACCAATAACCAATATCTAAGAAATCAAAACATTAATTTCTCTTTTTTTATCGTGTATATCTTGACATAACATGCATACATTCTAATTGGGTTTTACATTTTGCAATAAATGAACTGAAAACTATCAAAGAAAGACAGCACCTTAGCCTGAGAGACAACACACATGACGTACTGATCTCACAAAATTTAACTCTTATAGGTTGCACTTTGTATATATAGCTGTTTCACAAACCACGCCTCTTTTGGGGAGATATATAATATTCATAAGATAATTTGTTTTGTTAACGTACTGTTTCCAAGATATGATCTCTATGTTTCAACTCATAGAGACAAAACGTGGGAATGTTACCAGTATAAAAACACATGGAAGCGGCGAAAATTGAATTCTCAGGAAGACCCAAAGTGAAGGGAGTGATAGTACAGAATTTTAGTATAAGTTTAAACTCTTCGAAATTCGGGGCATTTAAATGTTGAAAATATGCCGCACAGCTCTATATTGAACTTTGAATAAAATAGAAGGGGATATCAATTTTCGTTTCTAGGATATAATTGTTTACGAAACTTAATGTAAAATTGGCACAGTTTTAGCCGTAAAGGGAGTTCCTATGGGAAATTGCATTGTCTATATATTTACAGAAGTGCAACCTATAGATGACAACTCAAATATGAGTAAAGCTAACGCAAGTGTTGTTATAATATTAACGGTATCCATTTTTGTGCACCGTATTCACATTTTGACAATTTTAAAATGTCTCTTCAGTGATGCTCGAGGCCGAAATAATTGAAAACCCAAAACCTAATAAAAACAAAAAAGGGCCTAAAGTAAAGTCAAATAGTCAATAGGGCAAGGAATTCGAGCTTTCCATGAAGGATATATATTCCTTTATTCAAAATAATTTCAATTTTTTGGCTTGTTTTTAATAGCAAATTTCAATCTATCAATATCTGTATTTTCATGCCAGTACCTAAGTACTGGCTAGTGGGCTTGTGATACCCTCGGGGACTTACAGTCCACCAGCAGATTTATCGAACCACTGGTAGTAATAACACTAACGGCACTAATCTTTTTGTGCAACAGCTACGCATTTCTACAAATTAATGTGTCTTCAATGATGCTTGAGGCCGAAATATTTGAAAATTTTAATCTTATAAAACAGTTATGATCTGATCACAAGAAAGGACATAAAGTATAGCCAAATCCGGACAGGGTATAAGAGCTTTGCTCAAGGGAAATATTTTACTTAATAGAAAATGATCTCTCTCATTCTATAACAGCAAATTTCAATCTAACAGTTTTCGTATTTTCATGCCAGTACCGAAGAACTGGCTACTGGGCTGGTGATTCCCTTGGGGAATTACAGTCCACAAGCAGAGGTATCGACCCAGTGGTAGTAATAATATTAAAGGTACCAATTTTTATGCGCATTTTGACAATTAATGTCTCTTCAGTGATGCGCGAGGTAAATAAAAACTTTAATGTACACAGTTTACGAATGCTTAGGTTTGATACACAAAGGCCTAAAACATTTTTTAACGGTTGTTCTGGTATTATATGTTAATATGTTTCATATTTTTGTATTGAACAAAAGAGAAAGCAAAAAAAAAGAGTATTGTAGAGAAACAAGAATTGAAATCCCAGTTAAATCTCTTTATCTTTTTTCACAATCGATGTTGTTGTGAACCATATCAATAAAAACAAAAACATGTCTTTAACTTGCAAAAAACATATACTTTTTAACAAAAGATCGACGATTAAGTAGCAGAAATATTCATAGGGAATCATTCTATTTATTTCGCAGTACAGTGCGGTTTTAATAACCGAGAAAGGAACTCTATTTATTATGCAATAATTGTCTTTTCAAATACATTAAAGGCGTATAAAACAAATAAGCGTGTGGTTGGTCGAACTCGAAGATCCGCAGATGAACAGTTACTTAGACACCTACATTTTTTTGTATTCCAAAAACTATTTCATTAATTTTGTTTTTATGATGATTTTGTAACTGTAAAATACCCACACAAAAATGAAGAGGACACCATACAACCCTAAGTAATGAATTAACGATATAACCATGCAGCTGTGAGCTCACACTTCTGAGCAAGTTGTGAATAAATTCAGAACACCCTGGCCGTGTTAGGCGCAACACTTTGGAAGTTTTGGTCCTCGGTGCTCTTCAGCTTTGTACTTGTTTTGGCTTTCAAACTTTTTTCATCTGAGCGTCACTGGTTGGTCTTGTGTGGACGAGACGCACGTCTGGCGTATTGAATATTAAGCCTAGTACCTTTTGTTAGCTATTGTTCGTGTGTTTCTTTGCCCAAATTTTCTCCCACCATTTGTATTGTGGTCCTGTCATGTGATGTTGTCGTTTTGGTGTTGTGTTTGACGTTGCCATAAAAGCGGAAGGTTTGGCATGCCACAAAACCAGGTTCAACCCACCATTTTTTTCTTAAAACGTCCTGTACCAAGTCAGGAAAATGGCCATTGTTATATTATATTTCGTTTCTGTGTGTGTTACATTTTAATGTTGTGTTTTTGTTGTGTCGTTGTTCTCCTCTTATATTTGATGCGTTTCCCTCAGTTTTAGTTTGTAACCCGGATTTGTTTTTATCTCTATCGATTTATGAGTTTCGAAGAGCGGTATACTACTGTTGCCTTTATTTATAACTAGTGTTTATCACTGATTAAATTTTGATAACTTTTATTTAGTAATGTCCATTAGTATGTATTTATTGGCTAGCGAAATTTATTCCTGTGGTAAAAAATCCTTAAAATGATGATTGTCAGAAAGAATTGTCTAAGTTCTTTCTATGCATGGCTCCTCAGCTCTTGTCCATGGTTTGAATAAAATTGTTCAACAAATTTATTCATTCTAAGAATTCGCTAAACATACAGTTTATTGTACATAATTTTATCAAATAAGTATCAAGTTACGATTCATTATATTATTGAATATACACATGAAACAATTTTGAAAAAAAAAAAAAAATAAATAATGGAAGTTATAAATCTAATCAAGTAAAGAATTAAAGATGTAGGATTGGTTTTAACATTCAAAAATTATATAACTGTGAATAAAGAAAATAATTCATTCCGCTTATTGGTCTTTTTCACTCATTGTACTTTCAATATTATTTTAAGCTATATCCATATCATATGAACTCAAACAATTGATAGACATATTCCTCAACACATTATTTATCTTAATTTCAGACTTTCATCACCAGTTTGACGGAGTTGTGAGAAGAAAATTAGTTAAAGAGAAGGGTATGCTATCATACGTTTCAGGTTTTTTTTGGAAAAGCAATGAGGAATATCAAAAGTTGTTGAGAAAAGATGTGAGTCTTTCCTTTGAGACTTTTTTACCAGAATGGAAAACTGTTTGCAATGGCGGAATAAATGGCAAACAGCTCATAGATAGAGTCAGAGATGTTTACCATTGTTTAAAGATGAATTATTGGTCAAGAGAAAAACTGTGGCCTTCTTTTATGGATTATGATAAATATACAGAGCCAGTAAGTATCTCACAGCTTTTAACATTTTAACTAACAATTTAAATTCTATTGAATTCGATATTTAAGATCACAGTCATTATGTTGCTTTATGCATCATCTGTTTATTTATATCCAATTATCACTACACTGCATTTCATGATAACTAGTTTCACCGTGTTTGGTCCAATGGTAGTTCTATATGAACTGACTAACAAAGTTTTAGGTTTAATACTTGATTTCTGGTTAGTTGAACATAAGTGGTGAGCAAACCTTTAATCAATTTTAGTGATTTCGAAGCATTCAAAAGATGTAAATATGCTACAATACTTCGGGAAACTTCTGTAGTCTGAATTTGATACTAATTTTTTGGGCATAATGTAAAAGTAAATATTTATTATGTTTAACAAATTATTTTGAACCATTTTAGTAAATTTAAGGAGTTATTACATCAATCCTATTGTAGCATAGTAACAATTTTTGAATTCATTGGCATAGTTGAACCCTTATCACTTTTTATAATAGAAATAAGAAGATGTGGTATGAGTGTCAATAAGACAACTCTCAATCGAAGTCACAATGTGTAAAAAGTAAACAATTATAGGTCAAAGTACGGCCTTCAACACGGAGCCTTGGCTTTCACCGAACAGCAAGCTATAAAGGGCACCAAAGTGACTAGTGTAAAACAATTCAAATAGGAAAATCAACGGTCTAATCTATATGAAAAACGAGAAACGAGAAACACTTATGAACCACATCGACAAACGACAACTACTGAACAACAGGTTCCTGACTTAGGACAGGTGCAAACAATGCAGCGGGTTTAAACGTTTTTTGTATTTTGTAATTCTTACGCAATATTCATTTTTACAATTCCGTTGATGATTTGCACTGTTCGTGTAAGTTTATAGAACGGAGGCTTGTGCAACGTATGGACACGATATTAGTTAGTGTAGTATGGTATAAGTGGTAATCTGTTATGTTCAATTATATTCAGAACATCATCATTGTTTGTACTTTTTTGGAAATATAAGGATAAGGATATGTGAAATGATTGACAATGAAATAGCTAATACGTACACACAAGGACATAGAGGTGTATCCAAAGTATAAAAAAAAAAAAACACTTTCTCTCTGTTGATATGTATGTCTGTGTTTATCGTTGGTTAATTGTATATCCTTTCATAGTCACTACGCTACCCTTATAAAGAGGGAGGTCGGCGAAAACAAAGTGGTGCTTCAGAAGATTATTTGCTTATTCATAATACATATTACGTTCATCTAATAGATGAAAAATAACTCGATGAAATAGAATTAATTTTAGCTTTTTAAAGCTAATCTATTCTACCTAGCAATTCAAAGTTATGTTTGTTTTCTGCAAGTATAGACATATCCAAAATACTGCCGTATAAATCTTGCTCTGGTTTAGACATTATTTTGTTTGTCTATGTGTCTATTCAATGTTTTTGAAGAATCATATGTCACTGACAAAGAAAGAAAACATATTTCGATAATGTCGTGTATAAAATATTTGTTAATTAAACGAATTAAAATTGAGAAAAAAATTATCACCTATTTTATTTTATCAAAGATAATTGGTGAAATTGGCATTGACGCCTGTGGCAAATGAAGACTTTCCATCTACTTTAATTAAATGCAAGGCCTTTATATTATCTCTCAAAGATATGCATTCGTGAAAAGATGTGAGGTTGATTTTCCTTTTCAACTGCGATTTTGCTTCAAGACCTCTAAACTGTATCCGTTACTGTCTGCGTTCCCTTACAAATAAACGATAAGATATAGTTTCATGCATGCAAAACCCATTTTCTTCAATCCTTATCTTTTCGTTAGCCTAAAATGTATTGACTGAATCTGGCTGTTGTATTAGATATAATGGTCTACTCTATTAGTATTGCAATAATTCTACAACCGTTCTCTTTATGTCATTATCTCTTGCATTTGAACTTCATTTCTCTCATGTAAATACAATCTTATTTCTTGAAAAAAACTGGAGGCGGAAGGGTTATTCAAGCTCCTAAGTCGAAGACAAATATTAACGCAATGAAAACAAATTGAAATAAATCTGATAAACATTTAACGTCGTTTCTGCTTCAGCGCACGGCTGTTTAACGTTCAGAATTTCTAATACTCTGCAAACAAACAAAAGTTCTGACTTTCCCACTTTTATTATTCCTCTAAATTATTTTCTGAAAATCTTTTGTCAACTAACTTTATGGTGCACACTTACCTTGATTGATATTACTTGAGTCACTTATAATTAAAATGGTCTTTTCATAAATCTGTCTTTATCTATTTCTTTTGTAGTTGCTATAATAAGGTTTTTGATAAATAAATTACAAAACAATAATTGGATAAATATAATTGATAAAACCGTCTACGTTTTGCCTTGATAATAATGATATGCGTTTGGAAAAAAGTAAACTGACTTGTGATTGACATTGACTTCGATATTTAAAGTTTACATGGAAATACCCATACCATAATCTTTTATAATGAAACGGAACGCCCTTTCCATCCCTATGATAACCTTCCCTAGTTTGAAAGAACATTGTAATTTCGTATTTATTTCGATATGCGCACGTCTTATATGAGTGCAGCAACATTTGTAACGCTGTAGGGGAGCACGATTTCCTGCCTGCAGGTTAAGTACTTTGAGCTCGCTTTTAGTAATTGCGAGAAAAACTAAAAATTTGTTTACATTTTATGTTATGGTACTTATTTTACCGTTGTTTTGAAATTGAGTGCATTTCCTGTTTTAGTTTTTATTAGAGTGTTCTTTTTGTCATTGTTTTGTCAATATTCTGATCAAGATTTCAAAGTAGAAAATTTGAGATAAAAAAAAACTAGTTTTACTTAACCGTATTATGTATGCCCTTTTCACGTAAGTGACCTTGCAGTTGTTGTCGAATATTATCTCTTAGTATATTTTGTATTTGGAATAGTGTGTTAATATGTTTTATCAATCATTCACAAATTTTATATACTTAAGATGATTAATAGTCTGTCATATTATTACACTTATCTATTGTTGAAAGGTATTTGCATTTGTTGTCATCCGGCTAACATTAAACAAGGGAAAATGTTTGTTTTTTGTCAATTCTTTCACATTTTTTCCGTGAATATAGACTATTTAGGTGCTTCCGTTTGTTTTTATATCTACTTATCTATGAATAGTTATCAAAGGTACCAGGATTATAATTCAATACGCCAGACGCACGTTTCGTCTACATAAGACTCATCAGTGACGCTCAGATCAAAATAGTTATAAAGCCAAACAAGTACAAAGTTGAAGAGCAGTGAGGACCCAAAATTCCAAAAAGTTGTGCCAAATACGGCTAAGGTAATTTATTCCTGGGATAAGAAAATCGTAAGTTTTTCGAAATACTCAAAGTTTTGTAACAGGAAATTTATAAAAATGACCATATTATTGAAATTCATGTCAACACTGAAGTGCTGACTACTGGGCTGGTGAAACCCTCGGGGACGACACGTCCACCAGCAGTGGCATCGACCCAGTGGTGTAAATAGTTATCAAAGGTACCGGGATTATAATTTAATAGGCCAGACGCGCGTTTCGTCTACATAAGATTCATCAGTGACGCTCAGATCAAAATAGTTATAAAGCCAAACAATTACAAAGTTGAAGAGCATTGAGGACCCAAAATTCCAAAAAGTTGTACCAAATACGGCTAAGGTAATCTATTCCTGGGATAAGAAAATCCTTAGTTTTTCGAAATATTCAAAGTTTTGTAACAGGAAATTTATAAAAATGACCATATAATTGAAATTCATGTCAACACCGAAGTGCTGACTACGTATACTGGGCTGGTGATACCCTCGGGGACGAAACGTCCACCAGCAGTGGCATCGATCCAGTGGTGTAAATAGTTATCAAAGGTACCAGGATTATAATTTAATACGCCAGACGCGCGTATCGTCTACATAAGACTCATCAGTGACGCTCAGATCAAAATAGTTATAAAGCCAAACAAGTACAAAGTTGAAGAGCATTGAGGACCCAAAATTCCAAAAAGTTGTGCCAAATATGGCTTAGGTAATCTATTCCTGGGATAAGAAAATCCATAGTTTTTTCGAAATATTCAAAGTTTTGTAACAGGAAATTTATAAAAATGACCATATAATTGAAATTCATGTCAACACCGAAGTGCTGACTACTGGGCTGGTGATACCCTCGGGACGAAACGTCCACCAGCAGTGGCATCGACCCAGTGGTGTAAATAAAACGTTTTGTCTACAGCTAACGGTTCTATTTTGCCTTATAATTCTTTTCACCGCTGTACTCTCAGTCATAATGACCGTCAATTTTTAGCAAAGAAGTATCTAAAACATCTGACAATATTCATTCTTTGACCTGAAGTATTAAAATGAAGACATTTCTGAACTAACTTTAAATGTAATCCATGCAGACGACAGCGTTTTTTAATACAGATTGTACAGCATATAATTCTTTAAACATGAGTTGTCGGATGTAGATAACAGTTGATCTGTCTTTTACTGTTCGATAGTATAAATCAACAGATCGAACGAATACTATGAACGACTGATGTACTGACAATTTGACAATTGAACGTTTTTTTTCGATATAATTTATTTTAACTCGGTGCCAAAATAAACATCCTTCTAACAGAAAGTGTAATAATAGAAAATGAACGTGTATACATCGTTTATATTTATACCCCACGCGTCGGTTATTATGTTTTTGACCAGTCCGTCTGTCTGTCCGTCAGTCCGTCCGTCCGTCAGTCCGTCAGTCCTGTTCTTGTCATCGCAACTCCTCTAAAACCACACAACAGAATTTCATGAAACTTTATAGATAATAAGGACATACTATGTGGATGTGCATATCGACAGGAAATTATGATTCAATTTTTTTTTCTAGGAGTTATGCCCCTTTGCACTTATTGGCCTGAATATACTACTGCAACAGTTTGTCATCGCAACTCCTCTGAAACTACACAACAGAATTTCATGAAACTTTGTAGATAATAAGGACATACTATGTAGATGTGCAAAACGACAGGAAATTATGATTCAATTTGTTTTAGGAGTTATGCCCCTCTGAACTTATTGGCCTCAATATACTACAGTTCGTCAGTCCTTTTTTTGTCATCGTAACTCCTCTGAAACCACACAACAGAATTTCATTAAACTTTGTAGATAATATGGACATACTATGTAGATGTGCATATCGACAGGAAATTATGATTCAATTTTTTTCTAGGAGTTATGCACCTCTGAACATATTGGCCTCAATATACTACAGTCCGTCAGTCCTGTTCTTGTCATCGCAACTCCTCTGAAACCACACAATAGAATTTCCTGAATATTTGTAGATAATAAGGACATACTATGTAAATGTGCATATCCACAAGAAATTATTATCAGTTGACTTCTGGAGGAGTTATGAGTCTTTTAACTTAGGATTCTAGTGAGATTTTGTTTGACAACTGACAACGTGGGGGCGTGGGGGTATGTGAGCCTGCTCACCAAGATTCTTTAATTTTTTCTGTGTACGTACGGAATTTTGAAACAATTAAAAGAAGTTGATAAATGAAAACCGAACTCTCAGTTAACGTAATGTTTATCTTTCAGTGCCTTAAACAGTATTTAGAAAGGGGAATCGCATTGCTAGTTGAAAAGAAACAAAGCGAAAAACAGAATACAAGATTAGATACAGCTGGCATCAATGTTACTGCTGCAGTAACGATTGTCTTCTTACAAGACTATTATAAAGTGGTTTTAAATGTATCAGTTATATCTAACCTTTGCACAGCATTATTACCGAACATCAGTACTAAACAGACCTGTTCAAATGATTTGCAGGAATTGAAGAAGAATTTTTTAAGTTTAGAAGGGTATGAATAATTAGCGCTAATATTAACTATTAATTGGTTAACATGCAACAAGTTTTCTGAAAATATAAGCTTGTTGATGCAAACGCTCATAACTGCACAATTAACAAGTTCCTTTTTCACAATTAATTATTTGTTTTAATAGTATTGATATGCTAAATAACATTGTCTCAAAGTCATTACGCGAATGACATACAATTGGTGTATGCATTTGATAGATTTATTATATTAACGTTTGTAGATAAATTGTAACTTTCCAGTTATATTTTCAGTACAAGGGATATTTGTTTTGTGTTAAACGTTCTTTTTTTTATACATTTATTATATTATAGATTGTGGCTTTTCATTTATACAGTTTTTCTCTGGTCTCAATATGAATCATTATATACAATTTTGACTACCGATCTTAAAGAACTCACAGTAACAAAATGCCAGTTAAAGTACATTACAACTCATAAGCAAATCATGTTTCCCCAAAACTAGATATATTCCAGTACACATTCATTGTAAAGACTTCATATACAGCCTGAAAAAAACGACCTAATTAATATTAGTATCGGCAGTATGTACGATCGCTAGTGTGCATAATACATGTTTAGCTAGATTTAAATTTATTTACAAGAACGTAAATGTTATTACCGATAAAGACAAATTGCCTTCTGAAATAGAAACCATTAAATACAAACAGAAAACGTTTGCTCTGTTCATTTTATGAAATGTTTGGTTGTGTTTGTGTCAATTTCGCCGGAAGGCATTTTAATATGACATACGATGATGATAATGATGGATGGTTGATGGATGACTGTTTAACGTCCAACGGCAAATTAATAAGGATATTCAAGACGAGAAAATGTTAATGTTATTCGAATATTTACCTTGCTTCATACTAGACCGACAGGCGGAGCCAGATTTCTAACGTGCTAGTTCACAAAGTAACATTCCACACATGTCACCTTACTCGGCCACATTATTCTATATCCGAGCCGACCAGTGTTTGCTCTTACTTCTTGATGCTGCGTTCTTAACGGAAAAGCATCAAATACCTTATTTGGAGATCTTGATGATTTTATTTTCAGTTTAAAACGTTGAATCTGATAATTTTAGAGGGATCAACAGAACATATGAAACACTTAATAAATTTCTTTCTTTCTACGTGTTTTCTTGGATATAAATACACCTCGGACACTCAAGCGTAAAACTTTGAAATGAAAGCCAATAATGTATAAATACCCGACGAGCTGCATGACCTTAAACTAGTATTTATCTAATGTCAACTTTGTCCAAGTGAGACTGAACCTTTGTTTTTAAACTACTTCCTAATTTATCAAATAATAATTTTAGGGTAAGTTATAAATCATGTGAGTACCAAATCACTGACTACTGGTCGTATGATAACCTCAAGGACTTGCAATGATGTCAATCTAGTTCTTCTTAATGTAAATGTCGCCTCATGAACATCATAAATGCTGTGCGTTTGTATCGCTTCTCTGGTTTAAATTATTTACGAACACTCAAACCCAAATATTTAAAAGCGTAGTATGTGTATAAACCTTAATATGTGAAGAACTATATGACTAAAAGGTCCCGAAAACTACTAGCCATATTTATCAATGGTCAATATTGCCAGATGGACCTGTTCACTCAGTTTTTAAATGCGCTATGCATAAGTTATCAACGACAAATTTAAGAACGGTACTAAAAATGAAAACAACACCTTATAAATTACATCCGATGCGATTTTCTGAATTAATTTTAATTTTCATTAGGAACAAAGACGAATATTTGAAAGCCACGGATGTATAAAAATCGTAACAGTCAAAGAGTTTTATGACCAAAAAGGACCTAATATAATAGCCAAATCCCACGAAATTCAATTGTGCCTGAGGGAGTTTTAACTTTTTCTGAATAATTTCTAATTTATGAACTGAAGTTTAAGAAATGTTTGTTATAAATCACGTCAATTCTGAAGTACTGACTTGGGAGCTGATGATACCTAGTGTGTTATCAAGCGTGTGAGTACTGAAGCGTCTTACTAAATTTATTTCATCAGGAACGGTCAAACCCAAGCATTTAAAGGCAAATAATGCATAAAGAATCTGAATATTTGAAATACAATTTTACCCAAAGGAGTTTGAACCATAGTTTCTTTATAATATGCTGACATATAAATAAAGAATTTAAGAAAATTATGTTCAAAAAGTCATATCAGATGTGAGCAACGAAAATAACAATATGTAGGTAAAATAATTAGATATAAGTGTGATATGAATATTTATTATATACTTAGAGTAAATAACTTATAAGTTTTACTGTATGATAATATTAGTTATCTTGGTGTAATCAGGGGTGTACAGAAATTTACACCGGTGTAAAATTCTGTACACCCCTGATTACACCAAGATAACGGATTTATTTCTTATGAAGCGTTCCTTTACTCATTTTTAAACCGGGATGTAAAGTTGAAAAATGCTAATGAAAAATCTCCAGTGCAAAACTTTTTCAATACCGATGTTGCGGCGCATTGTCAAATATTTTTTTTTAAATTTTCTTTATTTTCATGACATTTGGAAATTTTTGGTGTTTTTTTAATTTTGTGGAAAAAAATATTTTCACTTTTTCATTTTTTTTTATTTTGCATATTTTTTCCTTAAATTTTGCAAAATATTAATTTTTTGGAATTGTTGGCAACATTTTATTTACCCCCGGGTGATCAAGGGTTGGGTGTTATTTACACATGGGTAATTAACCAATCAGATTGCAGGATTTTTGCTGCGTAAAAAATAATACAATGAAATTTACGTGTATTCTATATTTTCCGAAATGGTGTTTAGCGGACTGGTATGAAAAATTTGTTACATGCGTCTGGCTATTATCACATGCCTTTTCGTAACGTTATCGCATGGCATTCGGGCGTTACTTAGCAAATTACGGAAAATACACCTCAATGGTACGTTTTCAGTGAAAAACATAACAAAGTAGGATAGGGTACAAAATAATTATTATGAAACAGGAAAAGATATCATGTAGAATGTAAAAAACAAATGATACAATAAATGCATTTTTCAAAGTTTCCAGCAAAATTTAGAAAGTTACTTTACAAATGTTGACCTTACCAAACAGTGTTCATTATGTTTTGTTGAATGTTTTTTATCGTCAATATAAAAATATATTAAACTGTTGTTTTTCTCCTCTGTTGAGGCATATGACAGAAATATTACATATCGGATGTATTACATTTGGCGTCCAACGTTCGTAAACTTTTCACGTTTTAAACTTCTAGTTGAGAACCACTTAAGAGGATCAATATATTAAACTGTTATTTTCTCCATTGTTGAAGCATATGATAAAAAGATCATAACATGTCATTTGTTTCATATCAGATGTATTATGAGCTCTCGGTCAATATCAGCCCTCGAGTCTTTAAAAAAAAAACACGTCATAAATCATGTCAGATTTGAGCAACGGGGAAAACAATAATCTGTAGTTAAAATATTAAGATATTATTCTGATATACATTTATCATAAAATTATAAAAGGCATTCTTTCAATGATGATTAAAACAAGGCATTTGTGGTCACATTTATTTGACACTTTTGTAGATGAAATATATGTAAACGGCGGAAAACGTTTTTAATATTTCTGTTCAATCAATCGTTTAAAGTTTTGAATAATGGAATAAATTAAATTGATAATTAATCCCGTACTGTTGATGTACCGATAAACTTGATATAAAGGACATCTCTGTTGCAAGTCGTTTCATTTAAAAATAGACTTTATATAGCATTTATTGTTTTTTTTTCGTCGCAAGGCTAACAAAAAGGTGTTTAAGTGTTTTGTATTGTAAATGACTAACATAAATATATCAGCTTTTGTGATGATCAATACATGAAGATCACAAAAATGTTTATATAAAATCAAAACTACATATAAAACGGCTTTTCATCATATGCTTATAGAAAATAATGATATAATTGTATCCCATGATAAAACTAATTTGTACATATTTTTATTCATTACATTTCAAGAATTGCTTTAGCCGTGTGACATGACTTTTGTTATCAACTGCTTACGGTTTTAGCCGTGTGATATGACTTTTGTTATCAACTGCTTCCGGTCTATATCAACTGCTTCCGTTTTATATCAACTGCTTCTGTTTGCTATCGCCTGACATTTCGACGTCATTCGGCTAAATCCGGAAAAAACACATCAATGGTACTTTTTTGTGTAAAACAACAAAGTTGGATAAAAAAATTACTGGGAATCAGAACAATATATTATTATAAAATACAAAACAAATATTACAAGAAATGCATTTTTTCAAAGTTTAAAAAATAGTTTTTGTCTGTATGTCTTTTGCTGAAGTATATGATAAAAAGAACATAACATGTCATTTTTCATATCAGACCCCTTATCAGCCCATGGTCAAAATCATCCCTCGAGCCTGTCGGCTCTCGGGCTGATATCATGACCTAGGGCTGATAAGGGGCTGATATGAAAAATGCCATGTTATAATCTATATTTATACATCAGGACAAAACAGCAACCATTACATGTCAATATTTTTTATAGCTGGTAACAACCAGCTTCTGAATGATGTCAAAATCACAAAAAATTATCAAATAATCTAAAATAAATAATGGCAAATTACATTTTAAATGACATTTTACGCAAATAATCACATAAATATGCTTTATTATTACTCTGTTTTATCATCTCAAAAGAATGAAAGCATTATACAAAGTTTGTCCAAATGTCATGTAGTTGAAAAATGTATAAGGGGTCAATGATAAACTCTGCAAATGGGAGAATGAGTTTTTAATCTTAGAGGTATGAACTAAATTGGAATGTAATTTACTGGGTGTAAGTGTTCGTTGGAAATAAAAATATTTAAGAAATATTTCATTAGGCTTGTATTAATATTGCAACGCCTTGGCCCTTTATGTTAGACATTTTACTATTACTTTTGATGACGTAAACTGAATTTGTGACGTGCTAAAACGATTTACAATAACATATTAAGACAGGCTTGGATGCAGTTTAATGATTTTATCACTTCTATTTGAAAAAATAAGTTTTCAACAAATAGGTATCGTCGTTTATTTATGTTTTCATGTTTTGACATATTTTAGTTACACATTCATGCATTTTCTCCTTGAATGACGTTCTTTACACTGCTTGTGCTCGGGTAAGTATTTCATTAAAACATTCAACGTGGGAGTAAGACTGGTACGACCCAAACAAATCATGAACATGATGCAGTTGCATATCAACTGACATATCAATAGATTCGTATCTTACCACGGGTGTGTATTGAAAGCGTATGAAAAAACGTCATATTAGAATATAAGAAAGTCAATAAAACGCATTCCAGTTAGTAAAAAATGCTAATGCGGAACTACATTTTTTTGTTTTTTGCAGGAAGTTGAAAGAGAGGCTTTTAAATTTTGTCAAGTCTTTGTTGCGAGGAGAAAGGCCATTTCGGTTATGGTTGTACTGTTTACCTACATTACATTATATAGAAGGCCGATATCAACCCTTTCAGACAGCACCTGCGAGTACAAATCACAGAGATGAAAAGCCAGTATGGTGGGGAATTGACAGTTTCAAGTTGGAATTGGATACTTTCAAGAGACGACCTGCTGTACTAAGGTTTTTATGAAATTTTTCGTTCACTGTGTCATTTATTGAAGGCCTGTTGGTGACCTTCTGCTGTTGTCTGTTCTATGGTCGGGTTGTTGTCTCTTTGACACATTCCCCATTTCCATTCTCAATTTTATTACTCCATTTTTCCTCTTCGTTCCTTGTTTTCACCTAAACTACGGACCTACAAACAACAATTTAAAAAAAATAACTTAAAATCAACATGCCCAGTAATTTTACATAATACTGCATCACCGGGTACTAATGAGATTCAAATTCTTGATTCAGGTTTGGTTTACACGTCCACTGCAGGCAATAATGCTGTGAGCTAATACGTTAACATCAGAATTAGCACATTTATATATTTAGAATAAAATGATATACCAGAAATATAAGAAACGAGTGCATCACTGTATAAAGTAAAATAACAAAAATACCAAATTGAAAGGAAAATTGAAAATGGAAAGTCTGTTATCATAGGCAAAATCAAAAGCTCAAACAAATCAAACAAATGGAGAACAACTATCATATTCTAATTTGGTACAGGCATTTCCTTATGTTGGAAATGATGAATTAAGCCTTGTCTTAAAGCACACCAAACCTCTCACTTGTATGACAGTCGCATCCAATTTCATTAGATTGACATCAATGTGTGAACAAAACAAACAGTCATGATATGTAAAAATGGTAAAAAATGGGGTACAGCAGTCAACATTGTATTACAATCTTAATCACATCATAACAAATAACTATTTCAAAATAGAAAAGCAAAATGGCATATAGACACTCTATAGACAAAGCACATATGCAAAATGAAAGACAAGTTTACAAAAAAATACCATAGCACAATAAAACAATGGCGGGATGTATAAATACCGATCAGCGCCCAAAAGGATATTACAATAATTCACTTAACAGTAGAGGTTAAAAATATACAAAGAAAAATAAAAAGAACATAATGATAAGTCATTTTTAGACGAAACGCGCGTCTGGCATGGGATCAATAATGAGTTTATTTACTAGTATGACCAAACGGAGTTCAATGACATTACAAATGCCAGTAATTTTAGAACAAAGTCTTTGACATTGAGAATTGCGGTATTGTTTTCAATTGTTATCACTAACCCACAGCAATATATTTTGAAAAACATTGTTTTTGTTTTGTGTTTGATGTGATACTTATGACATAATAGAGATTTAAAAAAAAATTACATACATACGTTACTCGACGGACGGACCTAATGGGACTGGTTATTGCTAACCATTGAATTTGATTAAATACGTCGCTCGAGTTTAAACAAAGTATTCCAAGACTTTTAAAATTACAAACTGGAATTTTCTTCCTTTAAAAATAATTTTATTTTAACAAAAAATTATAGAAATCTTGAATTTTTATTCATCACGTGGTTTATAAGATTCCCGCCTTTATTCACGGACACAAGATCACGTATAAACACACGTATCCCATACCTATCATACGTACGATTTGAGTAGTTATCTATTACGGTTTTGATTATGACAATTATTTGTCAATATACTTTGCAGATGAACGCCTCTTTACACTTTTTTTTGTCTTTCTTTATAGTTTATCTGTCTTTTTATTATATTTGTTGCGGGGGAAATATTTAGAAGGATATTTTTCTTACAATTTCAGAAATATCGAAACCGTCGGGTCTGGTTTTCGAAAGTATCTTATGACTAAGACATGTCTTATGATGGTCTTATGACATGTCATAGTCGTAAGAAATGTTTTCGAAAGTGTCCCAAGTTACGATATATCATAACCTTGTCGTAAACTTCAACACCTCGCGACATGACTTATGATGGTTTTATGATTATCAACTAAAATTTTAATTACTTTTCATGTATAATTTTATGTTCATTACAATAAAAATAATAACTGTGTTGCTCAGAAGGCTAAATAGTAAAGATTTGTTCTTCTCCATTTTGCAATTAAAATTTGAATCTCCTTCGACGTAAAATTTGGACTCCTTTTCTTACTCATGATTTTGTATAATAACTATACACATTATTTCTTTCCTTATATAGTACTTTATTTACGTATTTGCACGGGCATTTCGTTAAGCGGGTGCTCGATGTACTGAATCTTAAATGTATTCACAATCAAATAATACTTCATGTATGATAATACGTAAACGCGAAGTTCAAGATTTTTATCATATATACAAACTAAATTTAAACAAACTCAGATCAACTCAGATTTTAATTCTTTTTCCATGTGTTCTCATATATAATTTCATGTTTATTATAATGCAAAAATAAAAAAATAAAATATTCGTAAATAATAAGAATCGTAATAACTATTATGTTCATACTTATTATTCTTATATTTCTTTTTATCATTTTTTAATTTATATACAGTCATAAGAGCATCAAAGGTATGACTATCTTAAGACAGCTTTGATTTACATTCTATGACAGATCATATGATAGTCATAAGATGGTCATAAGATGTGTCCTAAGATATATCTTATGACATATCTTACGATACTTTCGAAAACCAGGCCCCAGAGTTTGTCAGAATCTGTCTCTTTATAAAAGTTGAAAATTGAGATAAAACTATCGCTTCCATTTAATTTCTAAACAAATGTATTTTTCATTTATATCAAAATATTTTGATAAAAAAATCCCTATATATATATATATTGATTTTAGAATTAAGGTGTAATCGATTATGGATTGTTCTGTATTAATTTGTTTAAGGGGAATTCTATCGGAGTCCAAAAAGAAAAGACATTTTTAGGCAATTTTTTTATATCCCTTGAAGTAAATTAACTTATAGTATATATTTTATTGATAAACAAGTAAAAGGGGGTCACCGAATTCATTTTACTGAATAAATCATTAACGGAAATGTGTAAGGTAAGAAACATTGAACAACATAATATAATAAGATTTCGTTGCTAGATGCGGATTCAGGATAATGAAAAGGGGGGGGGGGGGGGGGGGGGGGTATAGGCAACGTTAGAAGTGGAACAAAAATTATAAGATTTAATAGGATGTAGGGACATATATATAAGTGTTCGTTGCATATGTATTTTACGTATTCATATTAAGGACGAGAAGATGAATATGAACCAAACCAAACCGTAGGAAGACATGTCATCCTACCCGGTCACATGAGTTTGACCCCGGACCGACCAATCTTTCCTCTAACTCCTAAATATTGCGTGCTTGACAGAAAGGCAGCCAATCTTCGATCTGAAACGTGCGAGGATCGAGCCCAAGACTTCCCGCACTCGAGCAGTGCTGTTCATTGGCGCAATGAGGCAACCGCCTCACCAAATATTTGACCATTAAAAAAGAGAGATAAAGAGAATTATATACCTTGTACGTCATAGTATAAAGTATACTGAGTGACGACGGTTCAAAACGTTGACTGTTTTACTCTTTACTCACTCATTCCTCATTATTAACGTCTTTAAAACTTTCTTTCATAAAATGAATATGTTAGATGCTAATATCTTTTTTAAGTAACATACAAAGTGTTACATCTTATAAAGTCTATCCAAATTATTTTTGCAAAGAATTCCGCTCAAGCCGGTGCTCGGGGCCGTCTTAAACCTGCAGTGAGGTGAAAGTTTTTTTGCTCCGTGTTGAAGACCTCATTGTGACTTGGAGATAAAGAACAGCAATAAAAGCGCTGTTCCTTTGCTTTGTGTGTGTGTTTTTTTTTTTAAATTTTTCTGTGCATGTACTGATTTTGTGTCATGGATGAATATCCCATATCCTTTGTTTTTCTATTAAAGTATAACTCGCAAAAAACTGATTCAAACAAGTGGTCATAACTGTGAAACTGATATGATGCTTGATTTTTTTTTGAAAACGAACTTGTGACTTTTGGTGGACAAAATTTCCAGCAGACACTTGGCATTCCTACATTTTATGTAGTACTCTTCTATCTTCGTTAATATAAGCAAGACTTAATAGTTCACCCAGTTATTATCATGCATACATTTTGAAAAAAGCTAAAAGTATAAAGTTCAAAGACATAGTGCATCTTAAACTTAATATCCCCAAATCTGTACAAAAGCATAATAGAGGAGGTCATACATTTAATATGTCAATTATTTTTGTTTTGATCAGGACCTGTCTGCAACTGAATACTGAGAATTAAACATTAAACCAGCAGTTTCCTTGAAATATATTGAATTAATGCGCAGTAGAAACATATTATTTCATGATAGAATGCCACAAATCTGGACTTTTCATAGACAGGATATTTTTGCTAGCGTATGACCTATCAAGAGTATGATCACCTACACCTATTTTGCGATTCATATTTTCAATTAAACGTCCACTCCCTATTGGCATTGACGTCTTTTAACAAAGGTGAGGCTTTGACTGCCAAGATTCAAATTATTTGCCTCACCAGAAATAAAATTCAAATTACGCTACTGTCGATTGATTGATAGTTGATTGCTTAACGTCCAGTGTCAAATATTTCATGCATAATTAACGTGTAGAGAGCGCGGCATTCTCTCTACGAAAGGCATCGGATTTAACGTTCCCACTCTGACCGGGGGGCTGCTTACTTGCACAGCCCGCACGCACAACCAAACGAACTCCCCACTTTGGCAATGGTTAAACTTCCGATCGGAACAAGACCAATAGTGACCATATTTCTATTCCCCCATTTCCCTTTGAGGGGTTACTGTCGAGGCGAGCGCGCGACCAAAGAGACAGTTATGAATATGGAAATAACATATACATGTACGTGTATTAATCAAAACATTTGCAACAAGAGTGTGTGGCCTTAAGACACCATGCCCCTTCACATGATCATATTTCCATGTTCAGTGCACCACTAAATTCGGGTCAAATTAATTTGGAATAAAGTTTTAAACGTTTTATATTTTAAACAGAACGGAAGGACGGATGGATGCACAGACCAGTAAATATAATATCCCCTTGCAATCATAAGTTGGTCATAAAACTAAAAAGATCACCCTACTTAACAAAACTTCAATCAAATATTCCGTACATGTCCGTTTTTATACGTTTCATAAGTTAAACGCCAATCGTTTTTGAAAAAAAAAAACAATTTAAGAGCAATGACGTTAAATTGCGCATACGTTTGCACGGGTTCTTCCTAGATTCCATGCATCATTATAATTAAAGACAAGATATAAAAAAATTAACTGATTCAGTTAAATGTAATCATATTTTTTCTTGAAGATGGGTCCTCATAAATTCCATTTGATAAAATTCTACGGAAAGATGACAAAGTGCTATCAGAAAAATGCATCAGTGATCTTAATTTTTACCTTTTCCAAAAGTATCTTGAAATAAATTTATATATATTTTTCAGTTATTGATTTAATAACAAATAACATATTTGAGAGCTGTATTTTTTCATTAACAGTAAATCATTGAATATTGATGCATTGATTTTATTTCTTGAGTAAATGTTACAAATGCGGTTAGATACATGTGCGCACATTTTATAATCAACACATATTTACATTTCCGGGCTTGCAATCTGTAACTGTTAGTACTTTTAGATCGACTTATGTCATTGGTAATTTTGCTAGCTGATTTATGCATTACAGTTTTAGGAGTCAAACAGTTTTTAACTGATATTCACAATTTATTATACATTAGTGTTCCAGGACTTCGAAGGGGTCATGTTGTCTTGAATGTTGAGTTCGCTGACCAAACAAGCATAAGATAACGAGATGGATTCTTAAAAGTGTCTTTATTAGGGTGACAGTGAACCAGTTGTGTTTACAACATGTACAACTTAAAAAGTAATAACATGTTTAGAAAGATTGATAACTGCGTCATATAACAGGCAACTTTTTATAAGATTCATGAAATTAAAATAAATTTAGTAGCTGATTTTGGAAGAAGAAAAAAACACGTTATAAATTTCATGCGTCCAAAGCTCTTTTCTGTATTTTCCCCCACCAGGAACGCTCAAGCGAAATCATACATCGCAGGTCACCACATGTAACTTTTTTTTCGATAGGAATTGATGGTTATTCGTACCTCCCTTTACTGCAATATGATAGTCACCGTTTCCAAAAGGTCCAACCGCCGAAATGTAATGTATTGTTCATGTAAGTACAAACCCGCTGATAAGTTTAATTCGGTATGTCATGTTCAGGGAAAAGGAAGGGGATTGTGGTTTAGTCAATTGGAACATATTATTCGTCATTTATGAAACAGATATTCCATACAGTGATGGCGTCCTAATTAATTTAAGAAAGGATCATTCCAATTTAACCACCGAAACTCTTGGTTTGAATGTTCCTTGTGGGATCAAAATGTTCTGTCAAGGAAATCGATATTATGAAATGTAAGCCCTTGAATATCGTATCACTTGGGAGATAAATACTCTATATGCAGGCGCTGCTAGAATATTGCTATACAGACTGTAGAAGTGTATATGAATTACAATACTCACAAACTATGTATGAAGAATGTTATAGATTCTTATCTATATGATGTGATATGTATAATTGCATGTTACATTTTTCTAACTATAATTTAATTTGTTATCTAGTGATAAAGAGGTGCTAGGGTTGATACCATATTTTGAGTTGGACTATCTTCTGCCAAGGACACTTGTTGCCAGCATGTCGTTTACAGATTTCTTAAATATGAAAGAAAACTTATGCATTCCTGTTGATGTTATGCTTGCAGCAGTTGACTACTTCATCCCAACAGAGGTCAAAAATAATTATCTAACCGCTAGTCACATGCAGGTATAGACAGATACCATTTTAGTTTTATGTCCTAGTTAATATTTTAAATTATAAATGAAGTAATATAAACACTGGAATCATTTCCATGGTTGTTAAAGATTGCAGCTTTGAAAAAGATAAGTAAAGTTAATATAGCTGTAGTATTTAAAGGTAGTTAAACAGTACAGAGAAAATTGTAAATAAAATAATAAAAAAGTATGAAGATATTACTAAAAACGTTTGTTATATTAATGTGCAAAATAATACCATGTATTGTCTTCCATATTTCGATTTCAAGATTTACGTATATCGTATCTAAAACTTAAAGATGTAATGTTTGTAAAGAAAAATAGTTAATGAATAATTACTTTCATCTTTGCAAATAGAACACTTTACCAATTATATGTGTCCAAAGCGCTTTTCTAGTTTTATTAAATCAGAACCACTCAAAGATTCAGATTTGAAAGACATTGATCATGTTGATAAAGAAGAACAATTCACGTGAAGACATAAATAATAAAAAAAGACCTTCAAGTTATAGCCATATAAGATCAACTTTTCCACAGTCATTTGGTATCTTGGTTTTATAATGTTTTCTAAATTTTCGATTACGATATAAGGCAAAACAAACAGACCTTGATAGCTCGATTTTTCTCTTCGAATATCTAAGGGTGTATATTTATCAGTTTGGTTTGCTTTTGGTAGTCAAAACTCAGAGGAGAAGCAAACAAATAAAAGATAATACAAAAGACTCTGAAAATCTTTATTGATTTGATGATTTGCTGTAATAATTAGGTCCTTCCTTTTTCTTAGCAGAAATAGGTTTAACATTGCTGAAGGTTTTCACTGGTTTTATTATATACCTGATTTATATTAATGGTTTTATTGAACCCTACATATTCATAAACAAGCGATATTGTTCTGCTTACAGAATTAAGGAATTAAAAGCAGGAAGCAGTGTATTAAACAAATACACCTTTTTTGAGGTTGAAGAGAGGACCTGTTCCATTTCATTAAAATTGATACAAAACCCAGGATTTTAATGTGCTTCAATTTTTCTTTTTCCCCTTCATAAACGTAATAGACTGACGTGATACATCGTAATTTGCCATATTTAGATTGCTAAATTACGATGTTAAGAGAATAAATGCCTTTACAATGTAGAAGAAAGATTTTACGAATAAATTGAAAATGGCAACGACAACTCAACAAAGCCAAAATACATTGATAGATAAATTGCAAACGATGGCACTTCATCTCTGATTTTTATATATATATAAAAGAAGATGTGGTATGATTGCCAATGAGAAAACTCTCCACAAGAGACCAAATGACACAGAAATTAATGACAATAGGTCACCGTACGGCTTTCAACAATGAGCAAAGCCCATACCGCATAGTCAGTTATAAAAGGCCCGGAATGACAAATGTAAAACAATTCAAACCAGAAAACTAACAGCCTAACTTCTGTACAAAATAATGAACTAAAAACAAATATGTAACACAGCAACAAAACGACCACCACTGAATTACAGGCTCCTTACTTGGGACAGGCACATACAGAATGTGGCGTGGCTAAACATGATAGCGGGCGCCCAATTATATATATAGTCCTTAAGTTCGTCTTTGAAATAGTGTAAGACTAATCATGCCATACAATGGTTGAATACCTTATCCGTAGGCACAATGATATATTAACTAGGAAAAAAGAATAAACGTTCTAAAGCATTTCATAAACATCTAGATATGTAACATTAAAGACAGATTAAGGTTTAGCTTTTATCCAATATTCATGTATGCATATCTACCAATACTTTTTTCGGTCTTTTTGAGACTACCGTTTAAGTACTCATGTATTTTCCCTCGGTATCTCTCGGTTCATCTACGCTAGTCAACGACCCCGTACCATTCACTATTGGCAGATAAAGATAGAAAATATATATACAGTGTTGTGCCAGCTCGCGACAGATAGAAGCCACGCCCACTCCGACTACACCATTCTTGACCAATTGCAGCACTTGAACTCTGCAGTATGGAAGTGTAAAAATAATCGTGTCCAACGTTTGCCATGTTAGCAAATTTAATGAAGCAGAGAGCGCAAATATACGTTGCCCATTCCAGCATTTGCATGAGGAACATTCCCACGAACTTCAATCAGTTGGTTAAGAACTTTTAAAGTGTCACTTAATATCGTTCTTTCTTTTCGAGATGAACACTAGTTGATAATCTGCACACGGTTATTGTTTATTTACATTTACAACATTAACACGTTTCATCTCACAGACGTCTTTTAAATAGCTGCATCCAGTTACAGCTGCGACAAATGGAAATCAAAACCTGATGAATCCACAATTCTGACTAAATCTGCCAGTGAGAACAGTAAGGTCAGATCGTAACCCTTGGCTAGCGAAGATGCCCTCGGTTTGTCTGGTGTAGAATGCAGAACTCAATTACATCACATATCGTTAAATATTGTACTTATCTGTGCTGGATATATTAATTAATCAAACCGATATAGAAACCAAAATAAATGACTAAATAGTTAAGCAATTCGAATTGCAATCGAAAGCTCAAATATGAAAAGATATATGATCGACCATGTAATCAAAACATTTTAACTCATTGATGATTTGTATATTTACTTCCATGTTATATAATCGATGTAAATGAAGACATTTTTCCGTGCAAACATCAGCAAGCACTTTATCTTCTTTACACTTTTCTTTTACACAGAATTTCAAGACACTATTTTCCCTGGTTTCAGAATCTGCATGCAAGTCATACTCCAACAAGTAAGTATATTTAGTTTAAATTATTTATTTTCAAAGGACATAAATGAAAAATATAGAACAACAATTAGGTTTTTGAAAACAGGAACAGTATAACATGTTCAATGTACAAGAACTGCAATAATCGTTAACATTTAATACCATATTAAGAACTTTGATACAATGATTTGTACATGGGTAAACATTTTATCACATATCATTATTTTATAATATTATGATCAAGATCGAATTAAATATAAGAATGTTTCACTTGAACCTGTATAACACAAACAATATAAACTGATTTATTCTAAAACCAGTTGTTGGCATAATACGGGTTATGTTCTTCTCATATATTTTATAATGGTATGATACTAATCCCTAACAAAAGGGATTATGCTTGATATTCATATGATCTTTCAATCAGTTTAAATGAGGTCAGGAGCTGGCATGTTAGTAACTGCTAGTAGTCCTTTGTTAATTTATGTATCTTTGTCATTTTGTTTAGTTTCTTCTATTACCTATACTGACACCGGACTCGGACTTCTTTTAAACTGAGTTTTACTGTGTGTTTTGTTGTGTGTTTGTTTATTCTACTTTGTTTAGAGGTAAATGGGAGGGTTGAGATCTCACAAAACATGTTTAATTCGCCGTATTTTTGCGCCTTTCCCAAGTCAGGAGCCTCTGGCTTTTATTAGTCTTATATGTTTTTTTAATTTCAGTCTATTAGTTTATTTATATGTTTTAGAGTTTAGTGTGGCGTCCATTTTCACTTAACTAGTACACACTTTCGTTTATTGGCCATCTTAGGCCCGCTTCCGGGTGCGGGATGTTTTTGCTGTGTTGAAGACCAATTGGTGGCATTGCACTGTTTTCTGCTCTTTGGTCGGGTTGTAATCCCTTGACACGTTCCCCATTTCCATTCTCAATTTAAATAGTCATGTGCAAATTTAACAATACAAAAGAGGTAGCCCCTGCATGTAACAATTACCGTAGGACATTTGATATGGACGAAACGTTTAACTCCAGGGTTTTGGTTGGTCTCGTGTTGCTCATTCTTTGTTTTTCGATTTTATCGTACCACTTCTATTCAGAATAGATTGATGGTGTTAAGTAGTTGTCACATTAAAAAATATAATAAGGTGGGCTAGATTTACACTGCGACAAAATAAGTACTCAAACAAATAAATGAAATATCCGATATTATCCCATTACCAAAACACCACCGCGGAGACTTCATTCGTTCTGAATATGCATGAAATATACAATTGAACACTAAATAAGAATGTATATAGTTGTTTATACTTCTTTGATGTAAATCTTCCAATGCATATTTGCATCCGCATAGTATCATTCTACATTTTGTACAAACCGTTTTAAATTACAGAAAATGTAATTAATCATCGAGCGTCAAAAGAAAGAAAAGAGTAATGTTAACCAACTTGTTTTCACGACTTTCGCGAGTAGAAAATTAACGCGAATATAAATCGTCGCAAATATGTAAAACTTGGATCTTTCCTTACTAAACTACATCAAGTTAATTAAAAAATCGCGAAATTTAATAGCCGTGAAGTGGTCTAGAAAGGTTTAAACGCGAAATAAAATATCTGCGAAAATAAGTTGGTTTACAGTAACTAAAGGTAAACGAATAAAAACCTTGCTATGATACATAAAAATATAATGCGTTGATTTCGGAGTAAACATGTAATATAGAAATAAATTTGAAATTGAAACAGATATTTATGGCGATACTCATTTTCATTACATGCTTTTCTGCAGCTTATTTGATCTGTGTCCGATATGATGCTACTTTATAATTCTTATGGTATTTGAGTGCAATGCACTATAAGAACGATATGTTATTATCAGTTTCTCGTTTAGTGCACTGCTTTTTCCATTTAACCTTTATATTTATATGAAAATATTACATCTTTGTGATTATGTTATGGGTTTAACCAAAATCGATAATAGTACGTTTTGTTATTTGCGTGTAGGCATTTGTCTTTAGATGATGCAGAACGATCTTACAAAATAGGAACAGATGTAGCGTACAGAGTTTTTGGTTTTCTACCTCAGTCAACAGACTTAAAACATAGAACAAAGTTTTGGATTGCCACATCTGAATGTTTTCTAGTTATTGCTGATTGGTTTTATAAGCTGTTGTCGTCAACAAACACCAGAGAGCAAGACTTAGGATTTGTTCCATCACAAGCTCTGAAAAGTGTTTCAAACGCAGTGTGTCATGAATTAAAAGAAGCAAGATTGGATAAATGGGGAACAGAAAAATATATTCAGGTACATCTTTTTCCATGGCATTTCTTATGTTAAACAGCCATAAAGGTATTAACCCTGATTAAAACAGATTGACATCTTGTAAACTAAAAATGGCGTTTTCTTAAAGCATCTAGAAGCGATCTTTAAATCAAATCAGTGTAAAGTGACCTATCATATCAAATCGGATTAGAGATTTAGATACCAGGAACAAGAAAATGTAACCTCTTTTTTGTTTTTAAATTACATATAATTTTTGAATCTCTGTAATGTAGGTTGTCAGTTTACAACAGAAATTATTTTGAGTAAACGAAAGTTTCGAATTACCTTCATTTTTACATTAAAAAAGTACAAAAACAACAAATTAGTTTTGGAATCAGTGTAGGATAAGCTGTATCTATAACCGACATTGATTTAATTTCGAAAATTCTAATTTCCAACCTCCTTTTCTTATTGATAGATTTTACATATGCGTGAAAAGTCCTTCAATTGTTCTGTATAAGCAAGCGGTTTTAATCAATTTTGTTTTCTTCAGCTTATTTTTGTGCGCAGTTTTTTTGTTCGCAACGTTTAGATTATAATTTTGGTCTATAAGATCGGAAAGTTATTGTAATTTATGATATCTTCCTGTTTCACACATCACACGGATTTTGTCCTACGCGTAACGCGTTGCCGTGGACATAGAAACACCGTCTGTCCGTTCGTCCGTCTTACCGTCCGTCCGTACGTCAGTTTGTCCGTCTCTCCGTCCGTCCGTATCTGTACAATTCTTGTCAGATTTTTATGAAACGTATATCATAGGTATATGTCAGAAACGTCTTGGACCAGTTTAAAAATCATTGCCAATCAATTATTTTTAAAAGAGTTATGCTCTTCTGAAACATTTATTATATTGAAAATTGCATCGTTAAAACTCTCATTTGTACAAATCCTGCCAGATTCTTCAGAACCTTATATCAAAGATTGATCAATATTTCATCAAATATTTTGAACGAGTTATGCCCCTTGGAAATAATAACGAAAATCGCACTTCTTTCACTCTGAAACCTTTATTTCTCTTAGATATTTAAAAAAAATATTTAAAGAACAAAAAAGTGTTTTTTTATTATTTATTGCCCTTGTACCTTGGATAGATGAAATATAAACAACGCGTAGGGCATTGGAACTCTGTTCTTCTATCTTGTTATGACTACTTCTTAGCAACCATAAAAGACATCGATGTATTTTTTCAATAATTACTCGTTATATCCTCAGGATGTACTGTTCAATAATTTTGACCGAAGCCATATAGACATTCCATATGAGAGGTATTTTTCCCTTTTGTAAATGACAAATTGATGTTTTCAGAAAGTATCGCATATGAGATAATGGAATAACTATATGTGGCAATGAAAGCGAAACCATCTCATTTTGTGATTTTGGTAGCGATCGATCAAGCATCTATAATCAATTAATATAACAACTAATGCATGGTCATATAGGATGGAACTTCTAAAGAAGTACACTTTTCAAACAATAAGTTCTTACGTTTACTTGTTAAAGTTAAAGGTTTCTACAAATATTGTAATCATTTTATAATCAGAAAAAAGTACAAAGACTGGGGATATTAATAGAACCTATATTCAATACAAAAACTTTTTTCTCTTTATGTTGTTTCAAGGCAGAAAATAACATTAAACTCTCTTATTTGATCCATTTACTATTTCATTTGATAACATTTGAAATCTACAGATATACATATAATTGTATGTCAATTTGTTCAACAATAGTTTAATGACTATATCTAAATGATTTATCTCCAGTTTTCCAAAGATTTTATCAAAACCATCCCATGACTCAAATACCTACTTAAGTAGCAGTTTGGCATGTATGGCTTAAAATCATGCAAAATGATGAATAGTGATACACAGTGTATCACAAAAATCTATTTTACTTTTTGTATTGAAAGATCTTGTGAAGTTAGTACTGAATTTATAATATTAGACCATTAAAACAGTATATTTTTTTTTGGTGCTATATTGAGTGTATGGAAAATATGAGCTTTTCCTACTTATTCTAGTATAGAAATTTCACTATTTTCTCCAAAGATCGGACGTTTTAAGGCCAATAATTAAATCCAAACTAGAGAGAATAATTTTCTTTAAGACACATGAAAAAATAATTTGTAGCCTTGTACTGGTTTTGAGTAAATTTGGTTTTATTTTGGAGTAAACATGATCTAAGAAAGATAACTCTTTCTAAGAAAGATAACCCCCTCTCACATAAAAAGAGTTCCCATGTGACTTGATAAACATTCAAAGTCATTATCTTAATGGAATTAAAACATTTCTGTTCCATTTTCTTTCTTCTTATGAAAGTACAGGATGGTTCATAGTCAATAAAAAGAAATTAATAGTAAAAAGACTCTCTTCATTCTCTCCGGAACTGCAATGTTTATTTTTACTCACTCCTTTTTTAAAACATTTTTCGTCTGCTGTGTTTCATTTGATAATACACAGTTTTATGTCATTTGTACCTTAACGGGCTTTCGTATTCCTTTTGAGAATATACTGTGCATGATGTAGAGATATATTTGAATTTATTTAGACAAAGACAAGTCCTGTCACAACTTTTCCAGTGACATGTTGATCTGTCTAGGAGAATTCAACTTGTTGTAGTTTTCAATTAATCATGACTTTATCAACGATTTCCCCACGAGAACAAGTCAATCAGACAAGAAAATTGGAACATATAATTTGCATATCATTAAAGAAAAATGAATTAACAAGGTTTTAAGTACCAACATGACAAAGGAAAATTTCACAATAAGAAAGCATGACATAACTTGTGAGGACGTTTTCGTGAGTCGTCGTTAGGTCATGTATGGTATTTCACTACTTACCTTTCTTTTGGTTGTGTGCATTTTTCATCGAAAAAACAGGGAAACCTTGTATTCAACCGCCTTTCCAATTGAAAAAGGAGAGCATTTAGAGGAGTAACCAGTCATCAAAAATGGAAGGATCAACATGGATCATTGACTAATGGTAATAATTTAATGTTTAATTCATTATTCTTCCTGTGAAGGATAGATTTATATTGAGAAAATGTACTCAACTGATATGAAAACCCTTTTAAGTTCCAGTGTAATATTGTTACAGAGTATTATTTTTACATCACCACTCCCAGCAGCCTTTTTCTTATGATTTATCTATAAAAATTCCAGAGACTGTGATCTTGTAAAATGAAGTAAATTTTATGTTTACTGTAATTGCCAATTCGTGGTTACAAAAAAGTACATCTGTAAACCCTGGGGGGATGGGGGCTAGGTAAACATACAAACACTAAGATTAAGAAAGATAAATTGACAAAATGTGACTCTAATTTACATGTACATAAATGCAGTCTGAATTGATAATGTGGTATTGCCAAAAAAGTTCTATAATTGTAAAAACCTCTCTCACTACCAACATATATCTCCAGACAATAAATGCCATAACAGCATAAAAGCAAAACCATACTTGAAGATTTCGCAGCACACAAATAAACATTAAAGTCATGAAGAGACATGACAGAGATGCATTGTAAACGAAATTTCCAAAAAGATATAAAACAGTCTTGACAGATCACATCAACTTCAGAAACACTTTTAGTTTGTCATAAGTCTAAAAAAGTAATTGTTGGGATAAAAATGATCCTAGGGCTCCCTACAGTATAATGGATTGTGTACTTCCATTTTTAAGGTACTGTTATATTTTATAAAGCATACAAATGTACTTGCACATACATTTACATGTTTTATTTCGTGGACATCGATAAGCTACAAAATAATTATTATTGAAATTAAGAAAAAAATTCAGTTAGCCTTAGTTTGTACATGCAAGTACATTATTCACTAATCAACTCTGTTTTGTATTTCACTTGTTAAAACACATAAAATTCAAGAAGTAAGTACCTTTCACAAATTTTGTTTACCCATTCTGACCCCACCTGTGAAGCTACAAATGTACCCCCTTAAAAAGATAAAATGAATTAAAATAACTACACATGTACCTTCTCAACACTTTTACCCTATTAAAAATATTTAAAAAAAAAAATTTGTGTACTCTGTTAGAGGTATGAAATTCTGAATAATGTACATGAACATTGAATTGCCTATATAAGAAATTTAGAATCTATCATTCAATCAAAAAAAATATACCGCTGCCCAACCAACAAGGAAACAACATTGATGCACCCTTTAAGGGTAGTAAAATAGAAAATTTCCTGGCTGCTTTAATTTTTTTTCATACACCTTCCCAATATTATTTGCATAAAGTGAGGGTATATAGTCATGATAGTGTATCTGATGGTTTGGGAATGTTATATAACGGCTTTACAAACTTGATTGAGATTTTATTAGATTTTGGTGACTACTAACAGAGATCCACCTTTTTAAATGTGATAAAATTTTATTGATTTGTATGTACATTTAATAATAACTTATTGTATTAACTGATTGAAGATCAAGAAACATCCTGATTGTTTTACAATGTTATGTACTTACATGTATATTACTTTCAACATTGTATGTTTTATTTTACCCACAGTTTACCGAGAATACTAGCTAAATAAGGTAAGTGATATTATTTTAATGAATAAATAATGGATTATGGCGCAGATAGTCAATAAGAAAATAACAACTCACTTTTTCAGCAATTCAGGTGTCATTGATTGTGTTGATACCATGTTATACACTGATACCTTTATGATACAAATGTACAAACGAATGTAGATGAAAATGGATTGTCTGTGAAGATTTCTTAGTTAAAAATCGAAATATATTTGTTTACCCATTCCTTATTACTTGTACATTTTAAAGATGAGTTATATTTTGCACTGACTTTATTTTTTTTGGAAAATTATTCTGAACTTTAATTTCAGGTTTCACATACATAATGATGGTTCATGTGAGAGGAAGACGTGATTTTTTGGATAAAGTTTTAGCTTGTTCAACAGACATTGAGAACTATTTACATATAACTGAATTCATCCCTATGTTCTTTTAC